CCGTGACTCGTCATTGGTAAAACGTATGGGCCTGGAGGCCACAGACTTACGCTGTCAGCCTTCTCCTCTGTAAATATAGATAATATAAGTTCATATTCATACTCCTTTATCCTATGTTTTAAGTTTTGGCGTTCCATTTCTTTAAGATCATTTACGATGTTTTTTTCTCTGGTTATATAATCTTTTCTACCAAATTATCGTACAGTTTAATCTTTTTTTATATAAATCATTTCATTTTTCGTCCAAATATATGAATAGTATCAGCTTACCTGGAACAAAAGTTTCACAGTTAATGTCATATCCTTTCCTTTGTGTGCATGTCTTGAGCGTATGTTTTGGTGCCTGTTGGTTTTCTAACAATGCCGATACAACTCCTATTTGCAATGTTATACATTTCAATTACTTTAAAAATATAGTGATAAATACTAAAGTAACACATATTTTATAGGAATACAAAACAATGAGAGATAAATAAAGTCGACTTGTAGGGTATAAGACTGATTACCATTATAAGTATGCTCAACATATATTTATGACCAGGAAAATATTATACATTTACCTTACATTACAATTAAAAAAAATATGTACTAATATGAAATCTAAGAAAATATTTCATAGTCAAATAAAGAGCGAACTATCACATGCTTTTTGTTATTCATATGAAATAGTAGCCATCGTTAAGCATGACCGAATAAGCCTTTTGAAGTACAGATTTTGGTTGGTTTTAAAATTAATATTTGTTTAGTGTTTCCTTTATTGTTTAGTTATCTGTTTAGTTTTTTTGTGACTGCTTGCTTGTTTGTTTACTGTAATTAAATATATCTCAGTCGAATAAATACAGCAATTTCGGTTTATTGAACATGTTTTATTGTTATTATCAAACATTTTCATGTTCTGCTTTCGCCGGTGCTTGGGGGCGTTGACGGTAACTTGCACTTTCCAGTACAGTCCATGAACAGACTCAATCAAAACCGAGCCTGCAACATTTTCAATTAAGTCGTTTTGGGCGTTCTCTGTGGATTTCGTTTTTTTTATCTATTTTATTAATAAAGCTAGATCCGCATGTTATAGGTAGTTTAGCAATTCTCTGATCGACAGTTTTTTTGTGAATATCATTTATTTGAAAGTAGATGTCTAACTATCTTGAAACATTAAAGCTTCACAGAGGTTCTTAAAAATCATCTTCGAAATATTCCTTTGCAACAATGGTGTATGTGAAGTGCATTAGCTAAATTAATGTGGCTGTATTCACAAAGACATTGCTAATTGATAGATTGAAACATTCCCAAAGGAGTAGGTAGACATTCTGGATTTGCATAGAGGCAAAGTAATTTCAACCTTGGCGGTATTTGTTGGTTTGTTAAGTGATTGATTTATATGGCAATGCAGCATGCCATTTTTAATAAACAGACAACACAACAATTAGGTGGTTTGATGATTAAAGTAGAAGTATAATGTTGCAGACGGCATTAACTATTAAAAAGCAATACATTAGGAGAAGCATAAAACCTAGAGACTTTAACGGAGAAAGTGTTTGCAAGATAACAACGTGCTTGTAAACATATCTTTGTGAAAGCATATGCCAGAGGTTTCAAAAACTTGTACTTTTCATTTGATTATTGTTCTTTTTCTAGATTGCGCGCTTAGATTTTTAGACATTTATAGTGCTGCAAACATACGGTTATCTTTCTTCTATAACGGGATGCATAATACCATACATGTCTTCTGGTAACGAACAAGCGCATGAAATATGATTCCGACTTGTTAATATCAAATGACAGTAATTTGATACGAATTAGTTAAGTGCTATAGAGGCAATAAAACACGTTTCAGGGTCGTTAAAAATTAGGGACTATGTATAGACATTTCTCATTTTATAACTTGAGACTTAAGTATTTTTCAAATAACTTTCCTACACTGAACATTTTTGCAAGTACTAGTACTAATCTATATAAAATACACATCATGAGTCGATCATATATTGTTCAGCAGTTTCAGAAAAAATGACACTTTCATTTCATCATCATGATGTTTTGTAAAGGATAATTCCTTTTATAAAATAATTAGTTTTAGTTTAATGAGTACAACGTCAATAATGATTATAAATGCAGGATTACTTGCCAGCAAAGAAAGTCGCTGTTAGCATTTAAAAGACAGTGAATGGTAAAGATAGCAAAAGGAAATTGGTTTAAGTTTCTGTCAAAGCAATTGCGTGAGGTGACGCAAATTCTTCACATACAGTTATCGAAAACAATGTACCCAAATTACGTTCTTAGATATACGACATTAACATTTCTATACACCTGCTGTTTGCTCATCATACATTTCATTAATGTCATTTTTGATAGTTTTATGTTTTTCTTCGTGTTTCTGTAAATGCGTAGTGCCCCCCGGGCATGAACATATCCTTTATTGCATCCCTTAACATCATATGATCAATTTCACGATTAAATTTACCAGTTTGTTTATGCCGTTTAACAGTGTCAATATCTTTAATTGCATCATACAACATCGTATTATCTATTTCATGGTTAAATTGTCCAGTATGTCTAGCCTGTTTATGCCTTTTCAAAGTCAGAGCAAACGATTTACTATTGATATTGCTTTAGTTCAGAGCTAAGGTGAGATTTTATGATCGGAATGTGTCCGACGTCCACCGTTCGTTGTCCGTCGTCCACCGTTCTTCACACTTTCTTTAAACAACATTCCTCCTAAATCCTTTTATGGATTTAATCAAACTTAGCAGGATTGATTCTTAGGTGGTCCTATACAACAGGTACATAGATATTTCCAGTATGATTCATAAGCAGATAAACTAAGCTAAAAATGAGAGCTTTAAAAAATCTTCTTCTTTAGATGCTTGGCATATAGCATCACCTCGTGGTACTTTTCTTCAAAAAATTATATCAATCATGCCCCTGTGGTGAAAAAAGCTCCGTCCTCGCAGTTTCCTAGCTTGCATAGGCTTATCTAGGGTTATACATTTACGTCTTTTTATAACTGCAATGCCTTTGGATATTTGACTTTAAGCATTGATATATAAATCATGCCCCTAATGTCAAATTGACTTAGCCCCGGGACTTTGTTTATATAGACTAATAAGGAAAATACATTAAAATTTTCTTTTGTGAAACTACAAGTCCAAGAGTTTAGCTATTTGTCTTGTAGCATTACCTAGTAAACCACTACAAAAGCTAATAAGTTATGAGGTCAAAAATGGCGGGGTTCAAGGGCCACATATTTTACATAGACTAGTATAATCAAATTGTCTCAAAACTCAACTTCTGACAGTTAAGTGCCATGAGTTTACATATATTGCATGCCCCATCACCTTATGGTCTTATACAAAAACAATATAATTCATCTCCCTGGTGTCAAATTTGGCCAAACCGAGGGATCAAATAGTTTATGCAAACCTGTTTAAAACAATTAACTTTAGCATTCTATTGTGAAACTACTATGCCAATATAATTATTCTTCTTTAAGATTACAGGCAACGTAAGGTCAATGTTTTACAACCCATTTGGTGAATAATACCATAAGGAGTTCTTTTGTCGGATAGATCCAGATGTCATTCAGATGCTAACAACTCAAACCTATTATTATTGAACTGCTGTTCAATCATAAGGTGAAGGCATAAAATACTTTATTTCTTTATATCATGTAATTTAATAAAATGGTCATGATAAGATCAGATGTTTAAACAAACAAATAAGATGAAAGGAAACAAGTTTTCGTTTACCATCTCTTATAATTTATAGATAAGACAGCAAATGAATCCATCGGCTTGGATTTATTTAACTTCAATAGGAATAAGTTCTGGATAATTGAAATAAATACTTAAAACAAATCTTAGATACATGTTTATGAAAATGGCGTTTTTCGCATTCTTCTTTAATGACGACATTTTTGAATACATAAACGTCGCAACTACAAACCTGCAAACTTGATTGCACAATAATACAGTGTTCAAATTATGATAAATCCTAGCATGACATTTTCCGGTTATGCCCCAAGGTCCCAATTTTGTCAAGATCCATTTTTCTACCAGACACTTTGGTGTACTCCAAATGTCAATGAATGTTGCGCTTTTTGAGCTGCGCCGCTGTGGCTTTTTCATGGTTATTTCAACTGAATGCCATTAAAATTAAAAATATTTTGGAATTTAATACATGAACCCTCAAACTCTCCGTAAGTATAAATTTAATGAAGAATACATGAACTTTGTCAGAATTATTCTGGATAATTCTTCGTCTAAATAATTTTTCTTCTGTCAATATTAATCCCACCCTTTGAGTCAATTTAGTTTATAAAGATTAGTCTTGGAAACTTATTTAAGTCTTCTTTTGTGAAACTACAACGTCAAGAGTTTAGGTATTTGCCATGAAGCAGTCTCTGACAGCCTGGAGATAAAATGACAAACCCAATATAAATTCATTACTGGCTTTACCCTTTTCTAGCTTGAATCTCTCGCGAGCGCTCCAGAGCCATCATGGCTCATTGTAACGATTAATAGAACAAAGATACTCACCGTTAGCGAGCAACTGCAACCATGTGTTTTTATTATTAAGAGTTTTGAGTAACGTTTCACGCAATTCATTTATCAGTTATGACAATCAATTTTTCAAAGTCGACATCGTGTATGTACATGTCTTTCGTGTATGTATAATAGTAATAGTGATTCCTACGATTTAGTGTCTGAGAACTCACAAAGCTTATATTAATGTGTTTAAAAGGATCTGTTTCAAACTCTTGTATTTGTGCTTCTGTTTTTAACCATATATTTATAAACTCAATGTTGGCCAAGATGGAATTTAAGTAAGATAAACTTGTTCAAGGCTTTAGGGACTATTAATAAAATGATTCTTAAAAGCGCAAAAGTTTACATATGAAGGCATTCCTTATAAACAGTATTAATCGGATCGAGTCTGCAATTAACAACTGTATTTAAACAATTGTGCAGAGATGACAAGTCAAGACAATATTTTACTAAGCTTTAAAAGATTATTTGAATTTAATACTATAAGTAAGAACATGTTATTGACAGGTCTGAACATATATTATGTAATAGCATAATTTAATGCATGCATATATATTCTATTCTATTATTGTAAATTTATATAAAACTGATGCATATGTGCACTGCTGTATTTTTGGTTTTTTTCTTAAATAAACGCGATTACTATAAATCTGGTGAAAATAATTCTGGTATTTTTGACAATATTTCTGCAGTTATACAAATGTTTACCAATCATTGCTTTGAAACTGTTTAAACTAGAATAATTTCACTTTGATAAAACTAGAATAATTATAATTTAATATAAACAAGACATTTCACTATGTCAATTCAAAAATAATTTTACACACATGCAAATACATTTTACTTAAAAAAGACCTTTATTCGTGTCATACAAAGTAATTTTACTCTATCAGTTGCAAAGTATCAGTTACACTGCCCATTAGAAAGTATTTTTCTGCCTTGTGAAAAGTTACTCTTTGTTTTCAAGACTTTACTCTTGCCAAGCAAAGAAGCTTCCCTATCACACTTTAAAGTTATCTAACTTTCTTCATTGCAAAATATGATTTACTCTGTCTACACCAAAGAAATTTTCTTTCTTTATTTCAAAGTACCTTTTCGTCTTCCCATTTCAAAGTAATTTTATTCTGTCTGTTCATAAGTTCTCTGTCCGTTGTAACGTAGTAATTACAAGTATACTCTAGCAATTGCATATAATTACTTTATTCTGCCAAATTCAAAGTAATTGAGTTCTGTCCGTTGCAAAATAATTTTACTGTACCCATTACAAGTTATTCCATTATACCTATGACACCACACCACTGAAAGTGTTTCTTTCATGGACGACCCAAACACATACATATGTAAATAATTGAAATTAAATTCAAAATATAATGAATACGATTTTCTTCACATATTAACTAATTAAATATAAATGACAATCATACTAGAAATAAAACAAACATACCTAAAATAATGAAGCATATTGTCAAATACAAGTTCAATTGACAAATCATTCTTCTGTACTGTTTTATTTTGACGAAGCGATGCATCGGTTTGTCACAAGTTATAATGCTAAGCATCTTTCTACAACGGCTTTATATACATATAATGATATCGTAAATCTGCTCGCGAGAGGGAGAGGTCGTGATCACATGACTTCTGTCGCAACATGAGGACTTAACATGATTGTCTGGGAGAGAATTGTCTTTTAATTTGACATGAAATGACTTACACTGATACAAATACGACTGCTGCAAATATAATTATATAGAGTGAGGGTCTGTTTCATTAAATAATGATAGTTGATGTCCAATTGTTGAAGACTGAGGATGCATTACTGAATTGATAAATCAATCAATCAATCAATCAATAAATCAAGTATTTAACTGACTATATAATTATGAATAAATCAGGCTTACGAATTAGATATTTAACTATTTAAAGATGGATCGAATGTGACAAAATACCCTAATAACTAATAAATCGAAAAACATTACATAACATGTGAAAATTGTTTCATTGGCTTTAAGTCTTTTCCTCTTTTCCAAAAGACGGTCAAACAAAGCCGTAAACTGATTGAATGTTTGTAATATTGGTTAAAAAGACCTTATCCGTCTTTGTATGATACAAATATAAATCATCAGACGAACCACGCATATAAGCTGCAATAGTTCCAAAATTACTGCGCGTTATTAAGAGCGTATCACAAAAGGATAACATTAATTGCTCGAATAAAACCGTGTAGAGACCCTCGCAAATATCTGTCTCTCTGTCTACCTTCTTAAATCTGTCGACGTGAACTATTGTGCGATTTATATTGAAAACATTTTTGAAATTATTCATGGCGCCTTGCCTGACGTCGTTAGAATCTGTGGCAATATATATGGCATATTTTCTTGGATTTTTAAACCGTTTCAAGAACGAAAATATCGTTCCTTCTTTAGGTGAACCTTTTGGTAGATTGTTATCACCTGGGATTGAAGGGTTTTTACCGATCCTTATATGACTGCATACAAGATGCCTACCGTTGGTATTAGTTCGAATGAATTCAGCAAGTTCATTTCTGAGTCGTTGTTTTGGTCTGAACAATGTGTGGATAACTAAATGAACAATTTCTGGTCTAGTCATATTGACGATCCATTTCATTTGTTTTTCGACGTCTTTATGCAATTTTATGCTGTCCATCACGGGAACATACGCATTCAAGAACAGCACAATCTTCTTTCGTGTCCAAAGTTTCTCAAAGTCTATACTTGATATCTTACCATAAAACCCTCTATTTCCCCCAACATGATTTTCTTCCGTTGTATTTTGCGCTGGTATTGTGTCCAGATATCTTTTACACTTTGTCCAATTGAAGATAAAAGGGTCCATAAAATTCTCTAGTTCGCATGGCTTGTCCATATAAATGGCAAACGTTCTGTTTGTTAGTAACGCCAGCAGGAATGAAGACACTATTCCCTTTTCTCTGTCGCCCCATCCCCCACAAAGACCCCTACTGCATTTATAAAGCAAAAACTGTCTTTTCGAACAGTCAACTTCGTCATCGATTATGATATTTCTAAGGGTCTCGTCTCTTAAAACTCGTATGTCACGATGTGTTTGAAAGATAGAATTGTCAATGCTTCTTGTAAATGGACTTGCTGATTTTAAAACTTTCTGTGTACCAGAAAATAAATCATTAAGATTTTTGTCAGTTTCCCAGAACGCCTTGATTCCGTCAGATGTTTGAAAAATTTGGTAAAAGGTAGCAGCAGAATCGGTCCGTGTATAGATGAAGCAAAGACTTGATATGCCCAAACATGCTAGTATCTGTAAAACAAATTAATTTATGAGTATTATATTGAATATTTTGACATTGATCGCAAATCATACTAATGTACTAGTTATACTATACTTGTAACTAATTTGCTTTGAGGACTGTCGCTATAGTTTTAAAATAAACATATAAGCAGTGTAAAAATTATTTCGTAAGACTCATTTAAAATTTGCAGTATCTGAGAACATCATTATAAAATAAAGAGAAAAAATATTACCGTTCTTGGTCTTATTTTTGAGTATTTGCCCATATTTTGATTTTTTTCATGTAACGTAATTTCGAGGACATATAACGTATAAGTCTTAATAACATTTTAGCATTGTTACTTTTAGTTTATGTTTCCTATCATTTGTCACATTACAAATTTTTATGGAGTTCAATAATACCAGTCCTTGTGTTTTCTTTTGTTTGGTTGAGATAAAGAGACTGGAAATTCATTTCAAATAGGGGGTGAAGGTATACATATTTTTGAAACTTTTGCATAATCTCTAAAACTAGAAAGTAAATTAGCTGTATAAATGCATATTATCTACCCTTGAGATTAGCAAATAAATCCAACCTAAAGTGCAGATAACTCCAAAATCGAGATTTTTTTACTCTTTCAATGGTTCTTTCTGTGTCAACGTGCAAATTTAAATAAATTCTCTGATAGAGTTTTCATTGTGTGTACAAATCTTTATCAAAACTTTATAGCGCTCATCTTGAAAGATCCTGTGCGTTGTGATCAAAGTGGTTAACCACACTATTTGAAATTATATATATGTACATAATTATGCAAATAAAACCATTTTCTAGCATCGAAGAATATGTGTAAAATGTACTGCAAAATTTTGTGCATATTATATGTAATCATTAAAATATATGCATTCATTTCTTATTGTAAAATTTGACTTAAACTTTATAGAAAATAATTTTTATTACCTCCCTTTAATATCTTTATTAATGATACCTTTTGGAACCTACAATATTGATAAATCTTAATTTGAGCATCATGTTTATGATTAAAAACTATTTTGATCTGTAACACTGCAATAAGGATTTTATTATTTATATTGGAAATATGAATCAATGTTAGACAAGCGCTCCGGAATCGAGGTGGCTCGTCTTCAGTTCTTCACAAGAACACGACTTATTTTAAAAACAGAATATGACCGTATTGTTTTATTACTAAATCAAATCGGAACAGGTGTTATAAAAACACCTTTATGTGGGCTGCCATAAGCGGATTATAAAACTTTAAAACATGTACCGATGTATGTATATTGAAAGCCGAATATGGCCAGGGTTACAGCTTCAAATTAAAGTATTTGACTTGGCTTGAAAACATTTTTGTTTATATATACAAAACCACCAATAACAAGCTATACTTAGATTTGTTTTCAAAAAAGTTTTTTAAAGGGAAATAAAATAACATTTTCTAAACTGTTTAAACATGTGACGATAATATTCTTAAAAAATGCATGAAAAATCCAAAATGTTCCTACTAAAATACAGTAAAGCCGTTTGAGTTAATAGCGTTTTAATACACTCAACCCAGCCTCAAAGTGAACTGCAGCCTTACAAGAAATATTCAGTCGATATTAAAGTGTTCATATTTACAAGATAGAGACTTCATTAATTCAAAACATGTGTTTTCTGCTCACCATACTTCAATTGAGTCTGTTAACATTTCATTTCTCTTGCACACATGTTTTTACCAATAACAAGACTGTCTATTTGAATTGCTGGGTTACGGTTAAAGAATTGTCTCAGCAATTTTCCAATTCTGTATATTTATTGAATATAAACATTTAAAACAGATGCAAGGATTTAATTTTGTTTGCTTTATTTTTTTTTGTCATATACAATAATACCTTAACAGTCTCAAGCTTGATATTCTATAATATACATTTCAACTTGAATATATAATGTCTAATTAGATGAAATAACAATAATTGATTTGCATTTTAAATCTTGATACACATCCACTTCTTCTATAACCATAACAAGTTTTTAACTTTATCATAACAGTTACGTACAATGGATTTTCTTTTAAAAAGGATAAAATTATGTTGTTTGTTAGGCAATAGTAAAATTTAGCAATAAGTTGCGAAGTAAAACGCATTTGTATACACATTCTATGAAATACACCAAATGATAATTTTATGTAACATTGTTTTTAATTGGTGGATATATACCATTAATCCCGTAAATTCTTTAGCGTTTGGTTTCAAATCATATATTATTTATTTAGCTATGTTATCTTCCATGTTTTATGACTTTTCGTTTAAAAAATAAACCTATAATTGAGGTCAATGTCACTTTTTATGGACTGATACGTGACCACGTCCCGACCAACTGCAAAAAGCGTAAAATTGTTAGATAAAGGATAATATAATATAGATCACTTTGAAAGAGAAAAATATGTTGATTAAACGAGTAGATAATAATTGAAAATTAGATATTACCATAAGAAGAGGTTTTCGTTGAAAAACCGTATGCATGTTCATTATTTGCTCTTTATATCTGCTCTTCAATAACGTAATTTCCAAAGAAAAAAATCCGTCCTTTTAGCAATCAAGCATATGAAATAATATAATAATAATAAAATGATGTTAAGTTATCACATTACATAATATAGATTTGAAAACACATTTGGTCTAAGGCCAAGAGTTTTCAATATTGTTGTTCCTCGTTGTACTGGATTGTTATAATATTATAATGTCATGATAATCCTAGAAATGCAGTAATCGTTAAGTATTAGAGTGTCTATTTAATCTAAGTTATAAAATACATAAGACAATATTTTATATATACTTTAAGCGCTACTAGACTACATGAATATTGCTCATTAACATGATCTGATATTCTTGTTAACCATTTAATGGATCAAATATTTTAGTTGAAACTGAATCAAGCCAAGGGCGACAATTAATTCAAGTTAACTTGACAGTGTATATTCACCGTGCATATTCAGAAACGCAGGAATGTGCAATTAACGTAAAAGCAACGCCGAATCAGTGCAACGCCATTGCCAAAACGAATAACACAATAAGTAAACGAACCAAAATATTTTATTCTAAATCAAATTTAAAGAGTTGAATTAGCGCATACGGATGTTACGACATAATACTTTAACCAGTATTACAATTTTTTTCAGGAATTTGTTTACTTTCTTAGATCATTCGCGAGAAAGACAACCTGATTACCGTTTTGTAGGTGACTTTTGTGTTTCGTCAAATAAATATATACATTAAACACATTTAAAACTTTATTTTTTTCATATTCTGTATACCTAAGACATTTGTCAAACTACAAGTGTCGTATAACAATAGAAGGAAGCTGGTAAAATAAGATTTAGCTACTTTTAATGAAATAACCGCCGTTGCTTCAGTGTTTCATTCACGAATTCGGCGTTACCCCGTAAAAATGGTCTCAATTATGTTTTATCTGCTAAATTAAGTGTAATATGACACAAGTAGATTGAAAAATGTCTCAGGTACACCGAATAATTATAAAGTTATATCTACGTTATTGTATTTAAAGGTATCAACGAAACTAAAAGTCGCCATCAATACGTTAGTCAGGTCGTCATTTTCATGAATAATCTTGAAAAATAAACATTTTCATGGACATGTTTTTAATGAAGTTTTAAGTAAAATGTCTAATCAACCGTATGCGCTAACTCATTTCTTCCAATTTGGTGTACAATAAAAATATTGGTCCCTTTACTTATCGCGTTCGTTGCTCGTTTAAGCCACTAAATTGCACAATTCTGCGTTACTTTATCACAATTCCTGCGTTATTTGCACATTCCTGTAGTACTGGATATACACGGTGATATTAAAGCGCGCATTTAAAATGAACAGTGAGATATATAGAAAATCCCGGGGGCAGGGGTACTTTTCAGATAATGGAATCACATACGTGACAGAACTGTCTATATGGTCAAAATGTTAAAATGTTATGTATGCATTTTTAAGCAGACAATATATATGAACGAATAAGAATATTTAATTTACAAGTTTTAGGTTCTGGCAAGAGGACATCGCATCAGGGGTATGTTTTTCCTTATATTTTTAAAGGACATTAGCATTCTGAAATTACTTTATTTTTTCATCTCAAGAAATGACAAACCTGTGGGGGTTAATATTTTAAAAATGGATGCCGAATGTTTAAATGATTTGTCAAAGAATCAAAGAAGTATTTTGATTTTTTTCAAATAAAATATAAGATTGGTTAAACTTTATTGAGTGACAAAAAAAACAAAAGATAGATCAGAGTTATGGCGATGAGTACCTTTCTGGATATTATGACAACACAATAAAAGGAAAATTTTGGAAGATAATCTTAAACTGTTAAACACCTAGATGAAAACAAGCCAGAATATAAAACTAAATTAACTTAAAGCAACATGTCTCCAAAACTCTTATTTTCATGAAAATTTTGAAAATGTTATTAAAGGTAAAAGTGAACAAAGAAAGTATTTACGAACAGCACTTACAGTCCACATAAATTACCAAAGTTAAGCCAAAATATGAAAAATAGCTCTTACTGCCTTAGTCACAGAGTAGAAAGAAATTTGGTGATAAATATTGCAAAATCAGTCAAATTTGGTGATAAATATTGCAAAATCAGTCAAATTTGGTGATAAATATTGCAAAATTAGTCATTAATCGCACATGATAATTATGTAAATTATTATCTGAATCTTAAATCTGGTACCGTTGGTCTTTATTATTTTGCCTTAACTACAAAAAGTGATCTAATCGATATAAGCTGCCACCAAGTAACAATGGACATGTGTGGTACACAAATATGAGCATATACATGTATGAGCATATCGTGTTCAAATCGCTAGTACAATAGACTATCATGTAACTTTGTGTTTAAAGAACAGATATATCATTTACATATATAATATGTAGAAAAGTAAAATAAGGATGGTTTATGATATTTTTTTCTTGTTTTGTTTGACTTTTTTATGTTATATTTAATTTCATATTTACAACTTTTTTCTCTTGAATGATCGAAAATGTGTTTTATTTTATTTTTTATTTTCACAGATTTCGCTGATTTTTTTCTTGTTCACGCAACATATTCACATCCGGTAGAAATATAAGTTTTCAGTCTCCGGATCCAATCTTTGATCGCATTTTCATAATTGTTTATGTATAAGTTATGAAAACACTGGGATATTACAGAACCGAGGTGTTAACGCTGAACAAATTTTCGACCTTGAAGGTATTTTATAGCTTTCAAAACAAGAACCGGTTGAACCGGGTGATGCTCCCCGAGAAGGTTCTGGACACAGGAAAGTATAAAAAAAAATGAACAAAGGGCAAAAACTCCAAAATTAGGCAGAGCGGAGTTATGTTTTTTTTTGCACTGCACTTCTATTCAATGAGATCTATCTATCTATAAAGTTTCCTGATGATATCAGAGTTATGTCCCGGGTAAAAGTCAAAGTGTAAAAATGAACAAAGGGCAATAACTCCAAAATTAGACCAGGCTTTGTTTAGGTTCTTTAAGCATTGCAGTTCTATCCAATTATATCTAGCTACCTACAAAGTTTCATGTTGATATCTCTAATAGTTTTAAAGTAATGTCCAGGACAAAAGTCAAAAAGTAAAAATAAACAAAGGGCAATTACTTCAAAATAAGGCAAGGCAGAGTAATGATTCTTAAGCACTGCACTTCCACCCAATCAGACCTATCTATCTACAAAGTTTCATGTTGATATCTCTTATAATTTTAGAGTAATGTCCCAGACAAAGTTCAAAGTGTCAAAATGAACAAAGGGCAATAACTCCAAAAGTAGGCAAGACAGTGTTACAGTTCTTGTGCACTGCAAACTTACTCAATGAGATCTATCTACCTACAAAGTTTCATGTTGATATCTCTTATACATTAAGAGTTATGTCCCGGACAAAGTTCAAAGTGTAAAAATAAACAAAGGGGGATAATTCAAAAATTAGGCAAGGCAGAGTTACGGTTCTTGTTCACTGCACCCCTATTCAATGAGATCTATCTACCTACAAAGTTTCATGTTGATACCTCTTATACTTTTAGAGTTATGTCCCGGACAAAGTTCAAAGTGTAAAATAAACAAATGGGGAAAATTCAAAAATTAGACAAGGCAGAGTTACGGTTCTTGTGCACTGCACACCTACTCAATGAGATCTATCTACCTACAAAGTTTCATGTTGATACCTCTTATACTTTTAGAGTTATGTCCAGGACAAATTTCAAAGTGTAAAATAAACAAAGGGGGATAATTCAAAAATTAGGCAAGGCAGAGTTACGGTTCTTGTGCACTGCACACCTACTCAATAAGATCTATCTACCTACAAAGTTTCATGTTGATACCTCTTATACTTTTAGAGTTATGTCCAGGACAAATTTCAAAGTGTAAAATAAACAAAGGGGGATAATTCAAAAATTAGGCATGGCAGAGTTTCGGTTCTTGTGCACTGCACACCTACTCAATGAGATCTATCTACCTACAAAGTTTCATGTTGATACCTCTTATACTTTTAGAGTTATGTCCCGGACAAAGTTCAAAGTGTAAAATAAACAAAGGGGGATAATTCAAAAATTAGGCAAGGCAGAGTTACAGTTCTTGTGCACTGCACACCTACTCAATGAGATCTATCTACCTACAAAGTATCATGTTGATACCTCTTATACTTTTAGAGTTATGTCCAGGACAAATTTCAAAGTGTAAAATAAACAAAGGGGGGTAATTCAAAAATTAGGCAAGGCAGAGTTACAGTTCTTGTGCACTGCACACCTAATCAATGAGATCTATCTACCTACAAAGTTTCATGTTGATAGCTCTTATACTTTTAGAGTTATGTCCCGGACAAAGTTCAAAGTGTAAAATAAACAAAGGGGGATAATTCAAAAATTAGGCAAGGCAGAGTTACGGTTCTTGTGCACTGCACACCTACTCAATGAGATCTATCTACCTACAAAGTTTCATGTTAATACCTCTTATACTTTTAGAGTTATGTCCCGGACACATTTCAAAGTGTAAAATAAACAAAGGGGGATAATTCAAAAATTAGGCAAGGCAGAGTTACGGTTCTTGTGCACTGCACACCTACTCAATGAGATCTATCTACCTACAAAGTTTCATGTTGATACCTCTTATACTTTTAGAGTTATGTCCCGGACAATGTTCAAAGTGTAAAATAAACAAAGGGGGGTTATTCAAAAATTAGGCAAGGCAGAGTTACGGTTCTTGTGCACTGCACACCTACTCAATGAGATCTATCTACCTACAAAGTTTCATGTTGATAGCTCTTGTTGTTTCAAAGTTATGTCCCGGACAAGAAAAGGGGACGGACGGACGGAAAGACGGACGGACGGACGGACGGACAAGGCGGCGACTATATGCTCCCCCGAAATTTTTTCGGGGAGCATAACAAAATGTCACAAGGGGCAATGTCAGGTGAGTAAGGAGGATGGGGGAGCTCAACGATTTTTTTCTGCTTCAGAAAGTCCTGGTACTATAGACGCCTTGTGCGATGACGCGTTGTTAAGCAGCAATCTGACATTGGTTAAACCTGTTGAAGGTCTTCATTTTCGAGAGTATCTGTTCAGTTTAAGAAAAACATTTGTCTTGTTAAATTTCACACTAACAGATTTGCATTATTTACGACAGCAACCTGAATGGCGGGACCCTAAGATTCAAAGAAAATGACATGCATTACCCTTTTTATACTAATGGATCATTTTTTCAATTCATGGTCTTTTTATAGACTTTGTCGCCACAATCTTGATTTTTTTATTGCTAAATTGGCTCAAAAATGAACGTATGTTTCGATACCTGTGACGAATTTTTGCAAAAAAAAACGTACAATATAATTTGGAAACAACAACTTAGCGAATTGCACGCAAGCTTTTTCAACTCATCTGTTAGCAAATGGGAAATTCATCTAGCACACACATTTCTGATTTTCAAATCACGTTTAAGAATGGTATGAACTGCTCCTAATGAAATGCCAAATATACTAGCTATTTGTTTAGTGGTGTACTTGCAGCGGTATTACATATTTCTTTCACTTAAGCAACAATCTCGACAGCCATTGCTGTATTTGCCCGACGTGCATGGGGTGTGTCTTCAGTCGAAATAAACCCATATCATTTCATTTTGTCCATATACAGAACTGATTATATCAAGAATGTCTTAACACTCTATGCCAAGGAAACAACGATTCTTAATGTAAGACCGTATTTCTATTTCTTTCTCTGATATTCTGTCAATCATGTTGTATTACAGTATACGTGTTACGTCTTACGAACGTGGAAGGTGCCTACACTCCCAATATCACCGGCGGCGAAGTCATATTGAATCGTCAATTCCAAGTGTCGGAAGCAACGATTCGAAGGAAAAGGACAAGAAAATACAAAAACACTGCCTGACCTGCAAAAAGACCTGCTGCTGTATTTATAAAAAATCTTGGGAATTCGAGAAACCTCCAGAGCAATGAAAACAATTTCAAATTATTGAAAATCGCAAAAGAAAAGGTGGCATTTCATTAAAGGCATTCCCAACACAACCCATCAACACCGGGCAACCGTTTAGGAGCTCAGCAAGACACCAAACAATAACAAACAGATTGAAATAACATTCACAAAAACACCCACATAAGTATTTCAAATGGATGTGAAATACTGAAGATGTTTCATGTTCCAACAACGAGTTTATCCGTAGCATATTGGTAGTGCTTCGGTATGTAAACATTTGGAATATGTTTTGTATAGCAATGATTAACAATTTTACTAGCGCTTCGTAGTACATTCGAATATGTTTTGTATAAAAATGATTTCATTAATATACTAGACACACTTTTAAATGTTACATAGAGCCAGAGGAAATAAACTCAATCTCAAAAAACCTAATGTAGTGCATGAGTCCATGCTTATTTGAAATATATGTCTTTTTATCTAGCACTTTTATGACCAAAAATGAAACACAAGAACAAAACAAATAAAAAAAGTCTCTTGTCCCGTTTTAATGAATCTTTTTTATTTTTCTCGATACAAACTATGAACAATTTATTTGATAAGAAGATATATAAATTCATTCTGTCATATAGTTATGAAAATTGATGCAATGACGCTGTAAACGCTCCAATCGTGTTAATATTTTAACACGCTATCTAGCATAATATAATATTAAGATTAAAAGATTTATAGGTAAAAAATACTACAATTTTCTACAAATGGAGATCAAATATGTAAAAAATACATCAAATAATCAATATAGCTCAATTTAAGAAAACAATACGAAATGCGAAAAGCCTGAACTTAAGTCCAATTGTAATATGTAAAGGTTTTTAGACCTTCCCTGCTAAAACCTAGAGTAATAAGCCTTTGTAAGCAGTATAAGGTCAGGTCAGTTTGCATCCCGTACAGTCTGACTATGCTCTATAATTTTAAATGAGCCGCGTCATGACAAAACCAACAAAATGGGTTTGCGACCAGCATGGATCCAGACCAGCGTACGCATCCGCGCATTCTGATCAGGATCCATGTTGTTTGCTATCAGTTTCTCTACTTTTTATAGAGTTCGTAAGCAAACAGCATGGATCCTAATCAGACTGCGCGGATGCACAGGCTGGTCTGAATACATGCTGGTCGCAAACGCACTACGTTGGTTTTGTCAAGACACGGCTCAAATGTTTCTTAAGGATATGTCCTCAAACTTTAAAACATGAACCCTTGACAAGTCCATGTATAAAATAAAGTAGGTTTAGAGTTTTGATTGTCACCTTATCAACATTGTCAATAACATCTAGAGAGAGCTGACACCCTTAATTTTAAGAGCTAATTATAACATAACAAACTCGTTATTACCAATTTATCATTATTATTAATGTCAAAACAAGTACTAAAAGATCAATCAAAATATTTCGGAGGTACTTTTCACTAAAGCACAAAATATTTCTAATCTTAAAAAATTTATTTATATAAATAAATACTGATAACATTTTCTTAACATGAAACCTGACAAAACTGTTGTTACTGTAACCCTTTTTCAGGTTGTTTTATAATATTTGGCTTCAGACAGGAAATGTGGCTGAAAAGATTAGAACAACTTAAATATTTGCTTCACCCGTGTGTTTTTCAAAATGAATAAACAATCAAATGTACGTATTGTTCAGGTTAATTATCAGGTCAATTCAAAATGTGGTGTTATAGGGCAATTCAAAATAATTATGTTTTACAGGTCAATACAAAGTGTATTGCATCGGGTCAATTCAAAGTGATTTGTATCAGGTCAGTTCAAAGCGTGTTGTTTCAGGTCAATTTAAAGTATGTACATGATAAAATCAAAACATTTTACAACAACAAAAATAAGTCAGTTTAAGTCAAATTTTATCAAAAAATAGTTGTAAATGCATTACTTGATTTAGTTTATACACATGATAACAAATACATCTTTTATTTCTTTATTTCCTACAGAGCGTTAGGCATAACGAAACTTCTTTGAAAAAAACGAAAATATTTTCTAGTTTATTAATGGCGTTGGTAAATTTCATGCATTGTTTTTTTCATTTTTAAACATTTTAGTGCTTTTATTAAGTCAAATAGTTAAAACAAAAACTGACGACACATATGAATATACAATATTAATTTTCACATTTTTGAGATACAATGGAATTCATGTGATGCAGGGCATCCACTCATTTCCCATCAAAAAAATATAGGCATGCAATCAAAATATAGGATTTGTCATGGCCTTAATATAGGGAATTATAAAACAATGGTCAAGTTATAGGAATATATAGGAAAATATACTAGAGTGGACGCGCTGGTGATGATATATTTCAAATAGTCATATAGAAAAAAATCATAACCGCAATGATATGTACGTAGCATATACATAACTGTAATTGATTTAAATAAAATGAAAAGGTGAATAAATTATGTAAAACAAAACAAAAGCTTGTAGTAAACACTAAGCAAAAAAAACAATGTTATCAAAATGTGTACAAACAAATCTTATGCACTGTCGGTCAATATCATTATCATGAACAACACACGCTTATTACGAATCAATTACACAAGTCTATTTAACGATTATATATTACCCAAAATTACATTCATTCGATTTATTGAAAGTTTTATCCTTTTTTTTCAATTTCGAAGTTAAAAATAAATATTTTGTCACACAAAAACTTTCATTTCATTGTAATTTATATATACGTACATGTACGTTATATAATGTTGCGTAATGTAACACAAAATAAAAAGTAGATTTATTAGCTTATTATCTATTGCTTTCATGCATCCCATTCAAAATGCATATATTTACTCTGTAGTTAAAATTAAGTGACGGTTGAGCTCAGTCCCTTGCAGTTCTTCCATGAATATCCTTTAGTCAAGTTCGTAGTCATTAAACATCGAACTTACCAAGCTTTTGAATACATTTCCTTCCTTACCGGCACCCAATCTTTTACTAACCTCTTCAGCTTTTTTGTTTTCACCGAGATATCGCCACATGCGGACAAGATTTCCTATACATTGTTGCGTACCTAACCTTTCAACAATCTTTGTATATACTGGCATCATCTCACGAAACTCTTCAGGTATACCATTGCTTAAACAAAAATTAAAAAGTCGTACATAAACGTCTTGTAACTGACTTATAAGCAACCTTCTGGTCATAGATGCTTGGTGAGAAGACTTTGATATAACAAGAGAGTCTCCTGCCAATACCCCATAGGTCGTTAGATAAAACTTCATACACTTTATGTATAATCTCCCACTAATTGTATCAGACAGAATGCCTGACACCGTTGAAGCAAAGATCAAGTCACCACTTTCTATGCTAAAGCATTCAGGAACCAATGTGTCTGGCACTTCATCAACACAGTCTGGGCCGAAAACTTCAGTAACATGAACAGTGTTGTACCCATCACAAGCTTTTGATGTCAAGTTTGTCTTACGCTTGATGTCAATATACAAAGCAAAACACCAGATATAACCTATATGCAAATCGTGAAACAGTCTTTTCATCAAATCAATGCCATGTGTTTGTAAATCACCGCCTTCTTGTTCTACTACATCTTGAAAAACTAACCAAGCTGATTGGAAGTCATCTTCATAAATCATATTTTCCATCAGTTCAGTGCATACTGGAAGTAAAGATCTGCTCGCAATGACTCCAGTAGTAAATGCTTGTGAATCCACTTTCATGTTTTCAATAATTCCTTCTACAAAACCACCTACATCTGATGACATTATGTTAAGTTGATCTAGCAGGAAATACAAGGTAACTACAGGCATTCGTCTTGCACACTCTAACCTCTCGCAACACTCGTCTATTACTTCCTTTGGAATGCAAGCTAATAAGTTCTTCTCTTGAAGAAAGTACTGTTGAATATGATGATTTTTTAAACCCTCAACAAATTTCTTAAGAAGAATTAAAATGCATTCGCCAGGTTTCGACTTCCAGTTTTGTTTCTCGATATTCTCGCAAGCGTAAAAGAATATGCTCTTAACAACTGAAGGCGGGAAAGGTATGTCTTTCAATGTATCGTCAACTAGAGCTTTAAAGACAAGAAAAGTATTTCTTTGCTCAGCTGATAGGAAACGACATATTTCTTTTTCTGCAGCAGCGAATGTATAACACCAGGTATGGTCATTTTGAGAGACAAGGAAATTGATAGGATCATCAATTACATCTGACAATTTGGTATCTAATGTCAAAGCAATTACATGACAGCCTCCATCTACAACGGCCTGTATTGTATATTCGTCAGGAAAACCACTTTGTCTGTTTCGTCGAGGCCATTCGTCGGCTAATGACGGCCAATCACTTTTAAAAGCTAAACTTACAACATGTGTAGTGTCACCTTTAAGATTCGTCGGAGTCAACAGTTCGTCTCCAATGTCAAAATCTAATCCAAAGTCTTTCAAATACGTAATTTTCTTCAAATTTTCTTCACATACTATTGTTTGCCCTCTCCATAATTTTGGTATTTTAGGGATAAGCTTTAAATTACCAATAAGATTTGCATCATTCTCGGCGATAAGATCTACTGCCTTTGCAGATGTCAAAGTTGTAACAATTTTTGTATCATTGGGAACACTAAAAACAGTAAAAACATGCTCTTGAAAACAACCATTTATGTTTTCTTCCTCTTTTGTTGACGGGAAAAACATGCTTATGTCAGGACCCAAAGCTGAACTCTTCATTTTACATGGAATCAATCTGCACACGCCTGAACCAAACATGTCAATATTACAATCAGACGATTCAATAGTAGGATAGTAAGTATCTATCAAATCCGAACCATAATTTTGAATACAATCCATCCGGAAAGCCTGTCTCAAGATGAAGTCAATTTGGTTAACCGGACAGCTTGCCAACATCACCTTTCTTGATACAGATTCTGCTGACTTTCTGCTCTGTTCGAAACCTTTAAATGTTATAACTACATATTAAAATGTTATTAAAAGAAACAAACAAAATAAAACAATATCAAAAACTTATTAAGTGCATTACTGAAATGTGAAATTATCTTATAGACGCAATAAGGCCCTGAAATCGTGTAAATATCATTTTGTAATAACATATCTTTGCTTCTATATTTTAATCAATAAAACTTTCATATGTTGTTATCATTGCAAAGCATTTTCTTTATTGTTCAAGTTTTATGTTTGATTGTTGTTTTTTGTTTGCATAGCAAGGAAATAAAATAAACCTAATCTCAAATTATATTGTTTTACGGACATCATTCAGGGTTTAAAGCTATATCTAGATAAACGTTTTTTATAAAAATTATAAACAGAAAAATTAAGTTGTTTCTATAATCATATGGATGATTTCTGATAGAGATGTAATACAGAAGCCCTACACGAATATTGTTCACAAAACAGAATAGAATGTTCAGGAAAAGTACAATGCAGATAATTTAAGTAGAGATTTAAATGTTTAGCAATGATTTCTTGTATGCATTCGCAAATTACTGTAATCCAGGTATGTCAGAAGTATTCTTTCTTTCAAAACTCAAAAGAGATGTAAGTTTAAGGTAAGATATATATAGCTTTATACACGTTAAAAGACAGTTTAAAACCAACGTTTAAGTTCTTGATATAAAAGGGTTACATATACATAAGTAAAAAACAACATTTTTACAAATATGGATTACAATTGATTCTTGAAAACAAAAACTTTGAAATTATACCTTTTCTTAGGTCTTCTCTCCAACATTTTGGCCGAAGACTTATATAATGTGATTCACTGACATGACCTAGATAAATAGTGCCCTCATCCTGTGAATTCAGTTCTCCCGCTTCTGCAGAATCTGTCTCACCTGTACCAAATAAAACGAATACACGGACTTAATACATGACATTAACCCATACCCCACTAAAATCGAAAGTGATCGGCATTTGCAAAAGGTAAATGTTCTATTTTATTCTCATATTGAAATCCCAAGCATAGCTCATAAAATGTAAACTAAAGTCCGTCTAAGAAATTAAGTGTTGAGAAATATTTTCGAGTTTTAATCAGGTGTTTTTTCTCTGCATAACCGAATCTGGCTGCTGTAAACAATAATATCATGACGTTCTAGATTGCAGTTTCTATGAAGTTATTGTGACTTAACAGATGCTAATACATCACTGAACATGATCTCTGAACACATCACTTGTCTCATATGTGATACATGTATATTTAATCTATACCTTCAAATCTTTCGAAAGTAATTACGAAGTAAAAGGAAAAACTTATGAAGTCTATCGTTGCAGTAAAGAGATAAATTGCTTCATTTTAAGCTACTAATTAATTCGACAAAAATGTAAACATTTCGTTCTTTAATTCATATTTGAACTTTAAATCCTTATAAGTTTTGGCCCCTTTTTCTTTAAAATTCTAAACATTCGCAGATAAAACCTATAGCCTCAGCGATATGGTCATGGTAAACTTACCTTTGGGATTGGGAGATAGGATTGTCTCGCTTTGTCCGCTGGTTCCACCATATATAACTATCATCTTATTAATAACGTTAGTTACTGCTCTGAAATAGTATATTCACTTTCTTTTCTAGGTTTATTAATTTGCACATATACTTTATTGAATCTATGCTTTTATAATAAAAGAATATTATTTTCTTTACCTTCTTTAATATGAATCAGAAAAACGAACTTCAAGATGCGTTATCAATGTAAAATTTCTCATTTCAAATCATTTTATTATCTTTTAGGAAGCGGACACACAATTATATTCATACCATTTCAAAATATATTTATATAAAAGTTAGTATAAGTAATGTGAAAAATGTTTCCTGTTATGTTAGAAATAAAACGCAATCTTTTGTTGCCGTACAATACTATACAATGCTGTACACTACTATAAGCTATATGTATAATGATATGAATACACAACTTAACAATTTTAATTATTACACTTTAGATTTCGTCACAAAAGTGTGTTTTTTATTGTATTAATTAGATATAGACTTATATATAAAAAGAAGGGAAAATAATGTTTAATAACATGCGATTACGTTATGTTATATAAGATTGCCGTTGAACGTTCGATATGCGTTAGTAAATCAACGTACCTGAGAATCATGTGATCCCCCCATTCGCCGTCTTCACTCATGCGTGCTAAGTACATGTCCCAGGTTTCATCGTCGGTGAGGAACATTTCTAAAGGCGTCCCGTCGTCCTATTTCGAAAGAAAAAGCAAGAATACAATCAACATTTGAAATGTACCTTTCCTTAATACGATTATTTTGATTTGCTACTGCTTCGAAATTTAAATATGCCTGTTTACCATAGAAACCTTATTCAAGGTCCAGAGATTACAGTTTAATAGAATGATGGTAGCGAATGCATCTATAAAGTCACAAACTGAAGTCGCTCAGACACAGTTTCTGTTGAAACACCCCTAAAATTTAAAATGCCGTCTGCTAAAGTGTTCATTTTCCTGATCATTTTAATGTTGTAACCGGGCTATTGAATGATTAATATCGGTGGCAATTTGATGCTGCATTATCTTAAACAATTTGCTTTTCTTGCCTAAGCCGACATAGCTCAATCCCGTAGAGCGTGAGACTTGTAATCTCGACATTGTGGGTTCAATTTCCGGGCTGGCCAACTAAAATTACTCGAATCAGTCTTTAAATCGAGGTCCCGCGTATACATTAGTGCTAAAACATATGACACGCTAAAGAGCCAGCTGGTCAAGCTTTTGGAATTTTATCATCTAAACATCCGCATTAAACATAGTCTCTTATATCATGTAATATCTCAGCTGTTTTCAGAACAAATAGTCAATATAAGATGCGTCCTTTTTCGTTTAACAGGCAGAGTATCATGTTTGTAATACATGGGTCGCTGGTTCGATACTCGATGTAAAATTTCGCGTTTCCAATTGATCTCGGATAATGAGTCTAATATTTGTCTCTCACCGCTGAAATAAATATTTGCAGTGAGCAGCCGGTCACTTATAGAGTCATTGTAAATTACGAGTAAGTTATCCGCGGATGTCTGTGAGGTTGACCAACCCACGAGATATGACCAACAGACGAGACAAAAATATGTTGAAATTTACATAACAAAAACAGATAAACAGTTCACAATTATGCTCATTTACTTTTTTTCAATTGAGACGTATATTTCATGCTCAGTTTTATAACTTCGTCAGCAAAGTGATTTTACTTTTTAGGGTCCTGATACCAATGCTTATTATTATATAAAATCCTCAGTTCTATACAAACCCAGATGTTTGAAACATTAATTAGTTGACACACTATCACAGTGAATAAGTTTAAAACAATAGAGAATTTCTTTTCGGTGTTGTGATATCTCGAAGAATGGTACGTGCTATGTCACCAAAGGAAATAAGTCCAGCATGAAAACACTTCGGGAAGTTGATCTTTTCAGACAGGCAAGTGTTCAGAATTCAAAGAATTCAATCATTACATTGAAGTTAAGCCATCCGATCTCCTTTAAGCAAAAAAGGAAGTGGATCCGGACCTCATTTAGGTCACGTCAATGGTTATGCACCCGTGGTGGTGGATTTTATATTGAACGATCTTTAAATTTATTACACAGACGAGCTTAAGTACTCAATTTTGATAATTACCTTTACACGGAATTCATAATTGAAAATGCACTTACTGCGGTCGGGTTTTCCTTCAGATACTCCACAGCAGATTGTCTGAGCGTGTGTGGTGTGAAACTGAAATCGCCCATTACACGAAGTTGATCAACTATAGCAGCAAACAAACAGTTACCGTCCGGGTATACATCATGAGGAACTAAACCTTTCGCTTCAATCTTCTCCCTCATTTGACGTATCATTTTACCAAACATCGCTAGCGTTTGAACTTGGCCTCCACAGGCTTATACAGGAAAAAAAATATGTTAAATTAACAAATAAATGTTTTATCAGTATATGAATTGTCAAAGCACAAGATAAATGTGTAAAAGAACTAACCATCCCAGTCGTAAAAGAATCAATACATTGCATACATGTACAAATAAAATACTTGGGGCAGAATTATAAACTAAGTATGAAAAATTCTGAATTATTAATCTTGTAAGAGCCTTATCTGTTCTTTAAAAATCCATCGGTATAGTATGCATTCCTTAATCTTTTTATTGGGTGTAAAATATCTTTCAACTATAGAATTTTAAATCCCTCTATAATATCTTTAGGGTATCGTTTTAGTAACAGATAACACCATGCGTTGCCTTTTATTCAAAGTTATGCCTGGCATATTACATAACGATATCCATCACTCGTATTTTACTTCTGGATAACTAACCAGCAAGTGACCAACTACTTATCTCACATGAAACAGAGAGACAAATAACCATTAGACTAAATGTCCGAGATTTTGATTTGTTTGGTTTTATGGCGCACCAATACAATTAAGGTGATATAATGCCGAAACAGGAAATATAGCTTTGGCTAACCTCGTGTGTTACAAACTTAACGCAACACCAGGGGTCAAAACCACCTCACCTGTTGGAGCTAAGAGATGCATAGACTCCAGTAATTCGAACCCATTTAGTCGCCTCTTTACGATTACGCGGGAATAAACGGCGGCTGCAATTCTTATGCCTCAATCCTTAGAGGCAACCATAAGCCACAAGGGTTATGTCAGATATCAATTGTCGCGGAGAAATGACGCCATGCCCTAGGATCGAACCAGCGATCCCTGATTTCTCCGTTTTGAGATAAGCAAGCATAGATTAACTTCAAAACTTTTCATATGAGCCGCGTCACGACAAAACCAATATAATGCGTTTGTGACCAGCATGGATCCAGACCAGCCTGCGCATCCGCGCAGTCTGATCAGGACCCATGCTGTTCGCTAACAAACCCTATAGAAAGTAGAGAAATTGATAGCGAACAGCATGGATCCTGATCAGACTGCGCGGATGCGCTGGCTTGTCTGGATCCATGCTGGTCGCAAACGCACTATGTTGGTTTTGTCATGACGCGGCTCATATATTTTCTACTATGCAAAACAATACAAAAAGGGTATATCAAATTTTAATCATTTTCACAATTACCGGTATCGTTTAATCACTGCATGAATTTGTAAATTATTTCAAACACCCACATTCCTTGAATAAACGTAAAATGTAAGCAATATATTTACTCAAACATTTTCCATTACTACTGCTTCCTCCCTGGCCCATACCGTCAAACATAGAGCTCAAGCCACCACTCAATTTCCCGCCGTTTTTCTCATAACACTGCATACAAGGCAATTGAAAAGAAGGTCCACCGATGAACTCTGATGTCTCCATAAATGTTGCCAAGTCATATCCGTTTTTCTTTGCTTCTCTGGCAATCATGGTCATTGGTGAAACATAAATCAAACGGTACATACCCTTTTCTATGAAGAAAAATAATCGTTATCGATACACCATAAAGAACCATATGCGTATGATAACAATGTTTCATTTGAATACAAATGTAACATTGTTAATTTACATAGAATATTTTTTTTACTTTTATATTCTTAGTGTAAAGAAACGTGTATATAAATACTGTTTGACATATCTCCTACATCTGTATGCAACATAATAACATAACTAATTTTATATCTAATCCTTACAATTGGTGATTTTTTATCATCGAATTTGAAATTGAATTTGCCGCCGATCGAAAGTAGGGTAAGGGATTTCAGTATGAAACCAAAATGAGTCCATAGGAAAACGATGACCCCCAACACCCCGCAGTATGACATTTTTTACCTCCAAGTCACCTTGACCTGGGTGGAGACGTTTGCCAAATATTTTGATAATGCATCAATGACTAAAAAAATCATAAAACGAAAAGTATACTGGATAAACACTATTTCACCTTTGACCATCATGTCCAACATTGCCCTTGAAATTGCAGAAATAGGTTTTGCTAATGACACACCGTCTGACTGAGATAAATCCTTTGCTGTGACCTTTGCATGCGCAACACATCGTACTCGTAAATGCAGACGCTATGGCTCGGACATATATGTATGAAGTTTTTTACACACATGAGCGCGCATGCACGCACACACATACATACAATGGCGGGGCATAAAATGATCGATATATGTATAGATCAGGTGTCTGGCTACATTGAATATGGTGGCATTGGTCTTTCATTCTCAGTTGTTTTTACTGTCGCCAGTGGTTGAAAGATAATGCACTATAAAATCTATCACGGAAAATAATCATTTTCATCGTGTAATGATAGGATTTTCGTAAGAATACAATATTGTTAACATTTCAAGAAAATTTGTTTCCGTGTTAATTTGATACATTTTACCATTTAGGTCTTTTTATCATCTATTATTATTAACTAAATGCATATAAAAAAACTTGTATTTACTAAGGATATAAAACAGTCTATAAAAATAATAAATAAATTTTACTTGATTGTCTCATTGTTTTCATTAACAACTTCTTTGAATAATTCTTGGATCCTTTCGAAGACAGTGGCTTCTTCGATGACAGTGACTGCCCATTCTTGTTGCATGTTAAAGGCATACACCATAGGTCATCTTCGTACAATGCCCATCCATGGCTCAGATTATCTGTGTACCTTTGCTTCATTTGTATGTTTTGTTTCGCTTCCAGTACACGATCTGAACCTTCACGAGCGTCTTTTCTTTCATCACCTGTCAGCTTGTGCTTCTCTAATACATGAGGTCCCTCAGACTTTGACGGTTCATTGCTCATACCCACAGGTAAATCTATATCAACTTTATCCAGATGGGACACATGTTTCGTTTCTCTTACTTCAACCCCGGCATCATAATTAGCAGATTCGGCATCAGTTTCAATTTCATCCTCAGAATCGGAAAATGTGTTGGCAAAAACTGTCCCTGAAGATTCCTCCATGACAGATAACTTTGATTTCTCATCTGTTTCCGTGCCTGAAAGCGGTGATCAATGAAGCATAAATTCTTACTCTTCGTTCGTGCCCATTAAATAAATCTGCTATGAATTTAACCTTTCGCTATACATGTATATAGCGAAATTCACCCTATTGCGCATAAGGATCTAACAAAAACGGACATAATTCCGTCGGTATTATTATAAGTGCAATACCACAAGCATTAACAGTCATAAGTGAACAATTTCCACATATAATATATGTATTTATATGTTTGAATGATACTGAAACAACACTAGCCGAACTATTTGTAAACCGAAAGTACAGACTAAAATTTATGTATCGAGTACATTGTTTTTAACTACACCGTACTTTTTCAATATTTTCAGTAATCAAACTTATGAAAATATTTTCCAATCACAAAAAAATAAGATATTATTAGATTATAACGAAAAATGAAAATATCAGAAGTTCAACTTACATGTTTAACAAACCGAAAGTAGTAAATTCCAGTATCAGGTGACTTCAGAACTGCGCATGTTTGTACTTAAAAGGGTAAAACCCGTATCGTAAATTACCTTCCGTGTACATTTAAGATGGTTTATCTAATTGTAAAAAAGGTTTAAAGTATTATCTTAAATGATTATTTCATCGGTAGATAACTCGAAATTGAGGTCAATGACCTCTGAAAATAACTATATTTTTCATATTACAAAAGCATGCAAAGTTTAAATAAATATTATACTGTTTTTATTCTACCTTTATGTTTACATGTATTTGTAACTACTTTTAAGCTAGTGAAGGCTGGGATATATTCAATAAACTATTCAAAGTCGTTTCCGTCCCTAAAATATACCATATTGTACTGAATTTCAAAAATATTTATGACAAATCATTCTTATTAAAACTATAAAATAACACATCTGTTGTCTCTATTTTTTAATATTGATTGGTTCTATTAAAATCAGTAATTTCCCATTATCTCAAGAGTGATTGCTTTAGGTCACAGTCAACCATATTTAAGTAATATCGCCTGCGTGTACATTGAACATTAAATGTATATTCACTGAACACAAGTTTAAGCGCTTGTTTGAAAATAAACAGTAACAATCCCAGATCCAATGTTTTCGTATGAAACGAATTGATATGCATATTTATCATCAAACGATTACTTGTAAAATGTCGATACTTGCACAAAGAGAAATAAGAAAATATACACCAACTTGTCCGTATAAATATTGCATTATGTCAGATTCGTAAATAATTTGATACTGAACAATGAAAAATAAGAATAGAAGGAAAAGGTTTGGAGTGAACAACAACACGCCTACATTTGAGAGCTAAATAGCGCCCGTCAGCACACATTTTTTCTGTTAAGTTAAATGTTTCGCCGGCATATATTTTGTTGCAATTTATACGGCAATTTTGCAACTTTAATGTCCTTTTCAATATTTTGCTTCCATTCGAGTAGTAAATACTGACCTGCTAAACATTAGCTGGAAAGTGAATGCAGTAGCCCAGGAGATATTTAAACCTACAGTGATTAATAAAGATTAAATGTGTGCGTGAGTGAGTAAGTCAGTCAGTGATGGTTTCTAACATACTAGTATATCCAACATTGTTAGACAACCGGTACATTCACATAAGAATGACAAGTGATAATTCAGTCTTATAAACATTCCATCAATTGGAGCGTCATTCAAAGGGACAAGAACGTAAAGTAGTATTTATTTTTTATTTGCCGGTACGGAAAAAAGGAACTACATTTAAATACATTTGTACGTGAAACGAGGCAGTCTCCATCGCAAAGTCAGCGTCCAGCCGATCGGACAAGTTTAAAACTATGCTTAAATTTAAGATAACATATTAAAAATATAATTACTTCTAATTCAAAGGCCATTTTGCTCGAGATATCCTTTTTATTTTATTTCTCAAAATATTTTATTTTTGGTGTCCTGATATCCAAAAGGTTAGTCTTTGGCCAATATCCGGGATCATATTTTACTTCTGTTGCTTTTTTGGCAAAAAGTACAGTTAATATTGCATCGAAGTTTAAATTCTACTTTTACATTTTGCTACTCTTATAACAAATGATTTTATATTCAGGGTTGCATTCCTCGGTGATAAGCATCTTGCATGCTCTGAAACCATTATCTATCTTTACGTTATAAAACTCATGTTTACCCTTTCTAAAGAAGAAACAAATAATTTGTTTCTGAGGTATTTTGTGCCTTTTACAATGTTGGAATGTTTTCTGGTGAAATAAGCAACAAGATTTTCAAATTTATTTCAGCAATTTTTTTCATCAACATTTTAAACTGGCAAAATAAAATTACAATATGACCCTCTCAGGATACAAAATAACAACTTAACTGAATAGAATGAAATTTCTAAAAACATATTCACAGAACCATTTTATATCTTAGAAGTATAACCTTGAAATTTTTAATTTATAAAGACAGGACTAGAAATATAAAATCAATTCAAAATCGAAAATGAATAAAATTAAACCGTGAAATACACAAGTTTTATCAACAGCAACTGTCAATTTCCAGTACCTGTTTATTTCTACTTTAAACAATGACACAATATATAACCTGTGATTCTTCTCAGTTGTCTCCCACTGTTCAATGATGTATCCAATCTAATATACACATACAGTTAATAATAATCATATTGGTAATCTCCCATACCTCCAAACATTCTTTGTAAAAGATTTTTCATAGATCCACTTTTGTGATTATTGTAGCAGGGACAACATTCTACAGCTAGTTCCGGTTCTCCTAAAGTCTCCCATGCAAATGCTAAATCATGGAAACCTGAATGAACCTGGCGAAGTTGTACTATTGTTGTTAATTTGTCCATTAATTCGCGGAATTTACCAGGACAACCTAGCTCATCGTACGTCTCAAGCAATGTCATGTAAAGACCTTGAAGTAATTTCAGTTGATGCGGCTGATATGTCTGATTTTGGATCACAATATTGTCACCGGCAATTTCGCTGTAAGTGTCGATATAATATCGTAAACAATTGGCAAGAAGCTTTCTCTTCCCAGCTTTCATCATCACATCAGCGCAAACGGTAGGGAACTTCAAATCCCCGGAAGTAATGCTATATAGAGAGGGAACTACAGTGTTTGATATTACCTCATCATCAATATCAGGTCCAAATATTTCGGTTATGTGCACCGGGTCAAAAGCCTTTCCGATATCTCTTGTCACTGTAGTTCCCCTGACAAGGTCAATATACAATCCAAAACACCAGCAATACCCTACTGCCATTGTTAATACCATTCGCATCACTTTCACGACCTCAACGGGTTGTTTTGTGAACCGACATACCTGTTCATGTATATCATCAAATGTAATCATAGCGAAGTGATATTCTCTTTGATAAATAAGATTTTCAATCAGAGTTCCTGAGGCATGAACAATTGTTTCATTGAATGATCTTTCTATACTTTGGTGGGAGTTAAACTTTGGTAAGTCTTCAATGACGTCGTCAAAAACAGTACCAATTTCTGATGAAGTGATATCTAGCATATCTAGGACATAGTGTAGTGAAATTATTGGCTGTGTAAGAATTCCTTCAATGTATTTTGACCATACTTCAATATGTTCTTGGGGAATATTCTGTAGTAAATTCTGTTCTGATATGAAATAGTGAGGTATGAAGTCCATTCGAAGACCAATCGCAAGCTTTTCTATCATAATTATCAAACATCTACCGGGCATGCGACTCCATGTACTGTCTTCAATACTCTCACACGCGTAGAAAAATACGCTTTTTGGTAGTGCATCGGGTAGCGTCGGGTTATTGCAGGTGGAATCTAGCAGTGATTTGAGAAGGAGGAAGCAGCATCTCTGACTATGGCTTAGGTAGTGTGATAATCTCATTTCTGCAACGGCAAAGGAGTAACTCCACAAGCACTGGTCTTTTTTCAAAGCGTCTGTTATAAAGCTGTCAATGACATTACTCAGGTTCCCATTTGATGTGACCGGAACCACATGACAGCCAATTGATGCAACGGACTGGATGACGAGCTCCTCTGGCTTACCGCTTTTTCTTTTTCGTGAAATCCATTCATTGGCCACTTCCGGCCATTCCGATTTAAATGCCAATGTTCGGTGAATAGTAAACTTTTCGCTTGCAAGTGTACTCAAAAATGTCTCAAACGGAATGCTCTCTAAATCAATAGCCTTAAGATAAACAGTTCCTGTCTCGGATGCAATCGTTTGACCCTCCCAAAGCGAGACTAAGACAGGACTTAATCTAACATGTGACAAGTCCGTCGATGATTTTTCTGTCAAAAGATTCAGCCGTTTATGCTCTGACATGGCATCTTGTATGCATGTATCACGTGGTATTTGGAACACTGAAAGTATGCATGTTTTACTTGGTACCTTGTAAAAAGTGTCCGGAAAGAACACGCTGATATCTGGTGCAATACTTTCAACCTGACTCGTATAGTCGGGCACCATTTTACACATGATTGGGCCAACAAGAGTTACAGTGAATTCAGATTCCACGTCGTCGGTAGGAATGTTGGCGAGTTCTGGCAGGCTGTATGATATGTGTTCAAGGTTGATGGTATGTTTGAGAATAAAATCCAAATGTGTAACAGGCACATAAAGGCTTTGCAATGGATCAAACTTCTGAAGATCCCATGCCAAAGACGCTTGGAAATTTTCTGATAAAAATAAACAAAACATGCGTTATAAAATAGGGGAGGCATGATTGACAATCTTCAATAAAATGTTATACATTTCATTTTTTTACGTTTCGGGGTACACATAATTATCTCAGAATGAAATATATTTTATATAAATATGTATGAAATGCTAAAAGCTTGAATAAACTTAAAGAAAAATACTTATTTTAACAGTTTCTTTGTTGATATATATAATAATATAAACACATAATAATACAATCTAATATTTAAGTCTACAATGGAAATTTCAAAGACTCATATTGCACATAAAGAAACTATGCGTGGATAAATAATTTTCGAGACATTTAAAAAATAGAAGAGAATAACATACTTTCCTGAATGGTTTGCCACCAATTTTCTGGCCGGAAACTAACATAGTGTGTTTCCCCTAAATGCCCCATGAATATTGTAGGGATTTCTTTCCTCGTCACCTCATCGTTGGTTGCCTCAGATTTCTCTCCGTCTATAAACATACAGAATTCAAAACTCAAAATTCAAATCAATACAACATTTTAATATTTTACCAAGCTTATACTAATAACTAAACCTTCACCATTCGTCCTTCTTTAATAGATACCAGTCATGTGCCAAACAAATAGCAGACCAAACTGCAATGTGTTGTCCGGCAAGACTTAGTAATGTTCTGTTCAAATTAAAATGTTTATCTTCTATTAAAGATCCTGTATGTTGTAATTGAGGTTGTCTTCAAACATCGAAGAATATGTAAAATATGAACTGAAAATATTTGTGCAAAGTATATGTAATCATTAAAATATATGCAGTCATTTCTTATTGAAAAAATTGACTTAGACTTTATAGAAAATAGAAAATAAATTTCTAATTACCTCCCTTTATTTACATGAAATGTTAAATTCGGAAATATCTTTATAAATAATGCTATTTCGAACTTAAAATATTAATAAATCTTAATTTAAACATCATATTTATGGTATACACATGTAAAACCATAAAAAATTGTGTTACAGGATCTTAAACAATATTTCAACAAAAAATCCTTTCAAATTTTGATTTCTTCTTAAGTTTGATAGACATGCTCATTTTCCGAATTCTGACAGAAAATGATAAACTAAATCTTTCACAAGGTGAATCAATATTAGACTTATTGTTTTCATCTAAGAGGGAAGGGCTGTATTGTTACTTAGCAATTTATTTGACCCGCAGTTTTTCGTTAACTGGATCTGTTAAAATTTTAAAGATACTTCCTGACTTGATAAAAACGAGAATTATAAAAGGAAAAAACACACTGTTAGAATGTACATACAACTTAAACTGTTATTTATCATTTTGATAAATCTGCTTTTTGGTGCGGATATAAACAAAATTATAGATTTCAGTGTAACTGAGATTGTTATGTAAAGAATGAATATGATTTACCGGATTATTGACATAATTCTATACTATATTCATGTAGAATATATATACTATTCTAGTACTAGTAATGTTGGTATAAACAAACGTGATATTAATGCTAAATGAATGTACAACAAACATTATAATTTTTGAGAATATGTAAGAAAACTGGTATCATTCTGAAACGTTAAACAATTCTAGTATTTTCTTCCGACTGTAAAAAAACATTCTAATCTAGAAACAAACCAGGAATTCAAATTCTATGTGTAAATGAGCCGCGTCATGACAAAACCAACATAGTACGTTTGCGACCAGCATGGATCCAGACCAGCCTGCGCATCCGCGCAGTCTGATCAGGATCCATGCTGTTCGCTTTCCAACTCTATTACAAGTAGAGAAAACTGATGGCGAACAGCATGGATCCTGATCAGACTGCGCGGATGCGCAGGCTGGTCTGGATCCATGCTGGTCGCAAACCCATTATGTTGGTTTTGTCGTGACGCGGCTCAAATGTAAACAAACCTGGTACTTTAGGCACAAGTACAGTTTCTGTTTCTCCGTTCCTACCACCAAATATTACGATTCGCATTTGTAAAACATTGGTAATGGCGCTGAAAACAATACAATTCTAATGACAATATCATGTATCCAAAGGATTTAACATCATCGATCTGGTATTTGTATTTGTATCTAGAATTCCCTAACACTTGTTGTGCAATTTTAAGACTTACGGTGATTATGAATCATCAAGATCAATTCTCGTAACAGTTTCATCTCATTTTTATATACACCTAAAACATTTTTTTTTCTTTAAGCATGAGATAAACACGTTCAACAAGGGAGGCAACTGTTTATAAAAGTCTGAGAAATCTCAACCATGAAACATTATGAAAAGATTAGCCTTAACATGTTCAAATCAAAACATTTTAATCACGAACTCTTAAAGAAAGGTAAATAGAACACTCCATGCCGGATAGTGATGGAATTTTCAGTAAGCTTTTTATTCTTTTTAGTTTAGTTCTGTTTACATTTTAGCTAGGGAAATATTTTTACTGCATCCATTACTTTTCTATTCAGTAATAATAGTCACTGTACTTGAGAAAACCATGTATGGCTTCCTCACATGAAAGATTTCGACCCGAGTGAGGATCGAACCCACAGTGGTGAGGGACCTGTGATCTCAAGTCAGCGACTTTAACCACTCGGCCACGGAGGCCCCTCCCGCGAAAATCATGTAGACCAACAAAATGCTTATATATTTACTTTAAAACCATGTGATCTCCCCACTGACCGTCTTCACTCATGCGTTTCAGGTATTCTTCCCACGTTTCGTTTGAAAGGAACATTTCAAGGGGTGTCCCGTCCTCCTATAAAGAAAACAAACGATGAAAACAGAAATTGATACAAAAACAATTTTATCTTACTCAATTGTTTCTAACTAGTTTTTTACATATCGATGCTGGGGAAAAAATATGTCGACTAAAAGCCATAAATAAATGATTTTATAATTAATACATTTGACGAGATTCCAGCTAACTTGAAGTTTATTATTTCAGACACGAATGGACACTTTGTTTCAACCAGTGGTTGTATGGCTTCCATCGAACCCACAGCGGTAAGAGGCCTTTTATTGGAATGCAAAAACATAAATAAAAAACACAATACTATAAGAATAGGTCCCGATGTGCCTGCTAATTAAGTAATGTAATATTAGGAAATCATGTTCCTGGGAATATCACTATAAATAAAAGTTGGTGCAATTAACAGAAAAGTCGTTACCTTCTAATTTTTCTAAAAATATATTTCAAGACACTCCAAGTTCAACAAAGTGTAGTTTTACATAATATGAGATATCACTTAAACAAACGGTAAGTGTCACATGTTAGATATCATAACATTTTAAAATGTAGAAACATATTTTGCTAAAAAAAATAACTTTAAGTTAAAGGGAAATAACTTGAAAAATCAACCAGCATGAAAATGATATATGAAAGAAATACATGAGTTTTAAAGGTGTTTTGATTGAAGGAACTATAATTGTCGTATATATCCGTGATTACTAGATGTCCGACCTATGGCTGTCAATCAGATTAGGATGGAGAATAACCGGGACTCAAACACTAGGATCCATGACCTATAATCCTAAGCACTGAACACCTTAGTATAAGCGAATGGTTTTAAACACTTTCGTTATTAATATTGCTAAATAAAACATGAGCCTTCTTTCAACAAGACTTACTGCGTTTGGATTTTCCTTTAAGTAGTCAACCACGGCTTTTCTCAGTGTTCGGACAGTATACCGGAAGTCACCGCGCACGCGCAGTTGATCAATCACAGTTCCAAACATACAATTACCATCGGGGTACACATCACGTATTTCAAAGTTGTTTTTCGCGACAGTGTCTCGTATTTTGGCTATCATTTTACCAAGGGAATCAAGTGTCTGCAACTGTCCTCCGCATCCTGAAAATAGTTATACATGTATGTTATAGATGTATGTCTTACAACACGCACATATCTATATCTTTAAAGTTCAAAGATTTTACATGTGGGAGTGTTTTTTCACATACTCGTATAAACTTCCATTTTCTTTTTTCTCTTTATATTGATCTTTCATTTCTTCCTTCATTTACTTTATGAGGGGTTGCTGCTGTTAATTGTTTCTGTTGATTTTATATCTTCATTTTACGCATTGTACTCATAATATGATTACAACAGAGAATAATTAGAATATTAAAGTTTCAATTAAGTCAGTAAAGTTGCAGTTTCAATAAGCAGTGTTGATCGCTCGCCTTAAAGCGGCAGTGTCGTCAAATGCTCATTATAATTATGTTCTGTTGTTTTTGTTTTTTGTTGTTGATTTTTTGTTACGTTTTTTTTGTGTGTCTTTTTTCGGGGGAAGCATGTTCAAGGTTTATTTTTGCATAAATATTTTTGTAACTTTTGCATTGTAAGTGCCTTATTAAAGGTTAAATTACTTAATTTGTTTCCTCAAAAAAAGTGTTATTCAACTATTTAAAATATTTTCTAAAATCTTATGCATATCAGCATAAATCTGGAGGCGTGGACTTAAAAAAATAGCAGTAGACCTTACACCGCTGAAACCGAACGTGTTAAGCCTTTGGCACATCTATGGAGCCAGGCCAACTAGACTGACCTGTGACCAGGCCCTTTACTGTTTTAGCTCATTTTTTTTTTTTACATTTTGATACTGAAGTCCCTCTATCTTTCAATGGGCTGTTACAAGTTAAAAGCAGGGCAATTCATTACACAAATCCAGGTGTAGGGTAATGTGTCCTTAAAAGAGATAACAAAGAACCATAAATTCTAAATGTATTGATATAAAATTAATTCTATAAAATTTGGAATGAATGACCTGCTTGGTTTCGTTTAGGTAAAACTCGTGCATGTCTTCCTTTATTTTCATAGATGAAATTCTGTTAAAATAGTTATGATTTCGAATATATTAACAATCAATTACTTACTTTTACATCTACCGTCTGATGAATATCCACTTCCGGTTATAAAATCTGTGGCCACTTCTGACATCATCGAGCTTTCATGACACTGCATACAGGGGAATTGCATTGGCAAACCAAGTTTACCAGCTTGACCTAAAACTTTGGTCACATCCAGTCCAGTCTCTTTAATAACTTTAAAAAGTTCAGTTAGAGGTGTTTTCATCATAGATGCTACTTCCGAGAAACGGTCTTCACGTGACGTTGCTCTTTTGTCGTCTAAAAATAAAAGCAAGTAAAAGGAAAACCGCCGTTTTGGTAGTTTTTTTTTCTGCCATGGATATTATTTACATGTAGTTAAACAAAAATGTCAAGAATGTTTGTTATGATTGGGGATAATTTTAAAGTAAAGAGGATTACATGTATTTGTTATAATGCAAAAAAGTATTCAAATACACAGTCGTTATGGAAATTAATGGTTTTGTTTTGTTTTTTAAATGCTATAGAAGCAAATTGTCAAGTTCATGTTTTAATTAATCATAAAACTTACCTTCGTTCAGTTTAGTCCGGCGTCTGTGAAACATGCGAGGCATCCGAGGATGATGTGACCCAAATTTAGCGGATGTATCGCCACGTCCACGGCGATGTCCAACCTTCTGCGTGTCCCCAATGTCTTCTTCAATATGGACTCCCGACAAAAAGTTCGGACAAATAAGGTAATCATCAGTTGTCCAATTTTTGTTCCATGCACGAAAGACAGAGTGACAATGCGATCTAGACTGATACTCAAGTTGATGAGTTTCAGTAGTATTTGTTCCATAATAAGAACCAGTCTCCCAGTTTTCGGCAAATGCATTCGAAGTTACCGAAAAATCTTCACTGTGTTCCGGTAACAATAGTTGTGCAGAGCTATTTAATGCAGCCTCTGAGTTCGGCTGAGACTTTCCAATATCATCAATGCCTTTCATCGGTCTTTTTGAGTTTTCATTACTAGATGTCGATTCCACGCCAAAATATGAAGTTACATTGGAATTTGCTGCTGAAAATTGATTCCTTCCAACATTTTCATCACTGGGCAAGCTTGTCACCGGCTGCTTATATGGTGTTTTGAATTGCTTTGGTCGTGTCTCTTTCTGGCGTGTCTGGTCTGTCTCGTTGTTCCCTGCTCTACCTTGTGACAAATTTTGGTGACTTTGTACATCAAGAGACATTCTACCTTTATTATCGTCATTTACGTCCACTTTAGAAAAACCTTTCGTATTGGTTGGAAATTCTTTTATCTGTGTTGGCGATTGCACATGCTTGTGTGTTTTTACTATACCACGAACTCCTCCCATTGGAATGACATTTTTATTTCTTTGGCTTCTCTGTGGTTTAGAGCAATGTTCCCAGCCTTCTAGCAAATCATCATCAGAATCTGTCAACAAATCTTCAGTATCGGTATAAGAATATTCACTTCCATCAGAACTAGTATCGCTATAATTATCAGGGTACGTGCCGCTACGTACATTTTTGTCAGCTCCTTGGTCGGGAATGCTTTTTAAACTAATACCATAAGGACTATTCGCGATCGGTGATTGTTTTAGTCTTAAGTCCGTTGCAAGGGCATTTGTGTTTCTCACAGTAAAAATATCGTGGTCATGAATGGACTCATCGTCTTCGTCATTGTCCGAAAACTGGTTCAAGAAAACTTCGGTTGTGTCGGAGTCGTCCGAATCTTTGTCGGGAATACTGGCTTTAGACGACATAACACTGTTCTGCCACACACGTATTTAAAACGTGTTTACTGGCGTGTTTTCTATAAAGAAAAAAGGAAAAAAACTTAAAGTGACAGTTATGCTCATATTTTTATAGTCAAGTTTAGTTGAACTGGACATTGGAAAATGTTCAGGATAAATTATAAATCTGCCTAAAATATAAAAAGACTGCCCCACTCTTTATATAACTGAGTGTTATAGGTAAATTCAAATAGATATTTACAGAAATGTTTTGGATCGGTGCATTATTTGTTGTTTATGGGAAGTAAATTATTAAATTAAAAGAAATTATGGCAAGATGAAAACTTATTTTGATATTCATCTGTTCACTCACTATATACATCTTAATGGGCATTATGTCACTTTAATTTTGATTTTATTCTGCTCAAAAGTGTCTATTTACGTGTCTTATATAAGCATTTATGTTGTACCCCATATAACTCTCAATAATATATTCTAAATAATCTATATAATATAGTTTCTGTTTTGAAATTGAGCGGAATTTGACTGATTTGTATGGCAGTCCTTTTAAGGCGCGTACACTGGAATATCTACACATGCTTTATTGATTTTGTCTTTATTTATTTATTTATTTATTTATTTATAAGAACAAGCGTGACTTTTCTTGGCATTTATACGCGTTATATTTCGTAAGATTGTGAAGGGGGAAAAACATAAAAACATGCAATATTGACATAATCTGTTATAAACAATTTTAAGCCTGATTTACCTTTTTTTGAGAAATAAGGTATTTCAAAATGAAAAACAGGGAATAGTCCAGGGTAATTTATTGTAAAATTAGTCAAAAATCGATTGTGAAATTTGCAATTCTTTCAGTTGTGGCCCCTGCATTTTCGAATTGTAAAGTCTTTTTTTTCCAGCTGTGAAAGACCTTATTAAAGTCTTTCTTATATTTTGGGAGACATTGGTTTTTTAAACATACTTTAATGTATAAAAAGAAAGTATTGAAACCATAATCTGGCGTTCTTTATAGAGACTTCGAATCAAACAAAGATTAGGACTGCAACAGATGCCCCACTTGTATGTTAAGGCGGAGCTGGTTGGATTGTGCCAATGTCTGACCCGCTGACCCAACTGGCCCGAAATGGATCAGGGGTTACAATTTTACTAGCGCATGATCATTATTATCTTTATTAAAACAGTTGTTATTGTTAAATATTTATACATATGTATATGATAAATGAATAAAATCGCTTTGTATAAATTACAAATATTACCTATACATACATGTATCCAAAAACGAAACCAAAAGTAGCCTTTACAATCCACGGCTTTCCTGACCACTTGGAAAAATATTACTTTCGAGCAAGATTATTCAATCTAAAAATCGCAAAACAGTCATTCAAATAAAAAGAAAACATAAATGGATAAGAAAAAAATATACAAATTCCAAGTTACCAAATTACCGAAAATATTACTTCCGTGTTACCGTGAATTATTGTTTTTTACAGATTTGAATTTCTTACAAGCGCACCGGTCAAGTAAGTACAATATTATTTCTTACATAAATTTTCTGCCTTTTTTCTGACCACACTGTATTAGAAGTGGGAAGCGATCATAGCGTTAGTCGGTGAACGTCCTGCTCAGATAATTCATGTAACTAGATTATATATTTCTTCCAAATATTAATAAATGTTTGAAATTAGGAGAATATTTAATATTTGTACTCAAGCACGTTCGTACAGAATTTAATAATTATTTAAAATTAGAGAATGATAATGAATTATTTAATGAGATTGTACTTCTAAGAGTAAGACGCAATACAAATAAGTTTCAGAATAGATTAATTTATGACTTATTGTTACAGGGCCTTTTTACCTTCTATAACAGGGGCCGGTATAGGGCTGCTTCCCCAAAGAAAATTTCTTTAAAATCATGCAGTTTTCCCCAAAAATTGAATTTACATTAAGTTTTTTCTTCCCCTTTTGCAAATATACCATGTAATTTTTCCCCAAAATTAAGGGCTGGGCTGCTTCCCCAAACTGTGAAAAAAAGCCCTGTGTTAGCTCATGAATCTTATTTAATATATTTTACAGCGATAAAACCCAAAAATAATAAATAAATCCTGTCATTGAATTTAAGATTATGAATTTACTGGCACGAATTCCAGTTTTGAATTTATCCTACTATATATTTAACAAAATTTTCTTAAAATTTACACTGGCCCCAACTAATTTTCACTGGCCATGGGCCACTGGGCCAGTGCTAGATTCGATGACTGTTAAAATCCCAAATGATAAGAATAGCAACTTTCGCAGACCTAGGATTTCATGATATTTATTGAATGTCCGTAAATTTATAGACAGTCAAAGAGATTTAAATAGATTTATGGATATTCAATCAGTCTATGCGAAAGTTTAAAAATATGTCAGGCCACAGATCGGCATGGCATTAATTAGCCTCTAAGGTTTATTTCAGTCCTGGATGATTTTTATCCAGCCCAGACATTTAAAGCATTAAAATTTTAATCAAAATAATTTGGTTTAATGTTATCAGTTAATATAAGATTATAAATCTGGCGATTTAAATTATATAGTATGACGGAAACTAGTGTAACTGTAAATAAGATACATTGTAGGCATGATATTTTTAGCTTCTTGAAATTTAATTCCGACATGAGAACTGATGGAAAGAAAATTTATTTAAGACTGCATGATTTTTATTCAGCGAGGACTGAAGACCGACTGACTTTCGCAAAATGTGAAATTTGCTGCTGTTAGTTTAATCAGAGACATAGATAACATGAAGAGGCAACAAAAGACTGCTCATTTAAGTTTCTAATAGTTTAATCAGAGACATAGATAACATGAAGAGGCAACAAAAGACTGCTCATTTTAAGTTTCTAAATGTCATGAATATTGCAAATCACTCATTTGGAACACCTTCCCAAGTATCCCGTAACACCTTCCCAAATATCTGGGGACATCTTCCCAAGTATCCTTTTTAAAAAATAATTGCAAATCACTTATTTGGAACACCTTCCAAAGTATCTGTTTTAAAAATCTATTGCAAATCACTTATTTGAAATCACTTATTTGAAACACCTTCCCAAGTATCAGGGAACACCTTCCAAAGTATCAGGGAACACCTTTCCAAGCATCCATTTAAAAAATCTATTGCAAATCACTCATTTGGAATACCTTCCCAAGTATCAGGGAACTACTTTCCAAGCATCCGTTTAAAAATCTATTGCAAATCACTCTTTTGAAACACCTTCCCAAGTATCAGGGAACACATTCCCAAGTAACTGGGAACACCTTCCCAAGTATCTGTTTAAAAAATCTATTGCTAATAACTCATTTGAAACACCTTCCCAAGTATCAGGGAACACATTCCCAAGTATTTGGGAACACCTTCCCAAGTATCCGGGAACACCTTCCCAAGTATCAGGGAACACCTTTCCAAGCATCTGTTTAAAAATCTATTGCAAATCACTCATTTGGAACACCTTCCCAAGTATCAGGGAACCCATTCTCATGTATCCATTTTAAATTTTTTTATCTCTGGCAAAATTACTATCCTGGAACACCGTCCTAAGTACACTTCATGCAGGAACACCTTCCCAAGTATCCATTTAAAAATCCATTGCTAATCCATCATTTGGAACACCTTCCCAAGTATCTTGGAACACCTTCCCAAATATTCATTATAATAATCTTGGAAATAACTTGCAAAGCTGCTGATCTACACTTCTTGTTACTGATGTAGGCAAAATCAGAGTGTTATAACTTTCAAATTGCAATATTAAAAATTTAATGGAAGTAATCATTGAAAATCTGGAGGAAAGGAAGTGTAGTTTGTTACTATTATGGTTGGAAAAGTCTGTTGGAAAGTCTGAATATTTTATTTCTTTGAATTTTCTGCATAATATACCTTTCCGGTTTTTCGTAGTGGAACATTTAGCCACACCTTTTCCATTAATTGCTAGGTCAACTGCTCACAAACAGTATCACAAACATAACCATGTGTTCTTTTGTGCAAACCAGGTCAACCACTGACTATGTATAATCTCTGTGTAGCAATTTGATAACAAGTTTGCCAATTTACATAAAACTGTAAACACTGGAAAGGTCCATATAGGTCCTATGAAATGTTTTGGCCAACCTAATTAAAAGGGAAGTAACTATGATTGCTCAATATTATCAATATAACATTGAATTGTCTCCCTTAGCTTTTTAATTAGCTCACCTGAGCTTGCTCAGGGTGAGCTTTTAGGATCGGTGAATGTCCGTCGTCCGTCCGTCCGTCGTACGTCCACAATTGCTTGTGAACACTCTAGCGGTCGCATTTTTGCCTCAATCATCATCAAACTTGGTCAGGATGCTTATCTAGTTGAAAGCTCAGATGAGTTCGAACATGGCTCATCTCGGATGAAAAACTAGGTCACAAGAGCTAAAAATAGAAAAACCTTGTGAACACTCTAGAGGTCACATTTTTGACCCAATCATCATCAAACTTGGTCAGGATGTTTGTCTAGGTGATAGCTCGGATGAGTTCGAACATGGGTCATCTTAGATGAAAAAGTAGGTCACCGGAGCTAAAAATAGAAAAACCTTGTGAACATTCTAGTGGTCACATTTTTGAAAATCCAATCTTCATCAAACTTGGTCAGATTGCTTGTCTAGTCAATTGCTTGGATTGAGTTTTGAACATGGGTCATCTCTGATGAAAACTAGGGTTCACAGGAGCTTAAAAATAAAAACCTTGTGAACACTCTAGTGGTCACATTTTTGACCCAATCATCATCAAACTTTGTCAGGATGCTGTTTTAGATAATAGCTCGGATGAGTTGAATATGGGTCATCTCGGATGAAAAAAACTAGGTCACCTGGAGCTATATATAGAAAAAAACCTTGTTAACACTCTAGCGGTCACATTTTTGCATCAATCATCATCAAACTGGTCAGGATGCTTATCTAGTTGATAGCTTGGATGAGTTCGAAACATGGCTCATTCTCGGATGAAAAAGTAGGTCAACCCGATCTAAAAATAGAAAAACCTTGTAAACACTCTAGCAGTCACATTTTTGCATCAATCATCATCAAACTTGGTCAAGATGCCTGTCTACGGTAATAGCTCGGATGAGTTTGAACATGGGTCATCTTTGATGAAAAAGTAGGTGACACCGGAGCTAGAAATAGAAAAACCTTGTAAACACTCTAGTGGTCACATTTTTGCTTCAGTCATCATCAAACTTTGTCAAGATGTTTGTCTAGGTGACAGCTCGCAGGGGCGGCGAAATCAATGGTCCCTATTGCCCAGGTTGTCCCACAGCCTGTACGGACAAGTGGAAATTTTCTAAAATTTACTATATAAGTATCATACGGACAAGTAAGGAAATGCTTCAAGTAAAAACGGACAAGTTAGTCAAAATCAGATTTTGCCGGCCCTGGCTCGGATGAGTTTGAACATGGGTCATCTCGGATGAAAAAGTAGGTCACCGGAGCTAAAAATAGAAAAACCTTGTTAACACTCTAGCGGTCACATTTTTGCATCAATCATCATCAAACTTGATCAAGATGCTTGTCTAGGTGATAGCTCGGATAAGTTTGAACATGAACAATGGTTAATTCTCGGATTTGAAAAAATAGCAGTCACCAGAGCTAAAAAATTTAGTAAAACCTTGTTAACACTCTAGTTGGGTCACAATTTTGACTCAATTGTCATTAAAAACTTGCGTCAGGAAACTTGTCTAGGTTCATTGCTGGGAATAAATCGAACATGGGACCATCTCGGAAATAAAAACTAGGGTCACAGGGAGCTAAAATATAGAAAATCTTGTTAAACACTCTTAGGTGGCTACTGTGTTGATCCAAATATTCTGTTAATTGTCTGAAAGTTTGTTGATGATTTCTAAGTCAAGATCGAACATGGGTTCATCTTGGGATGGAAAAAACTAGGCTCAAACACCGCCCCAATATGGAAAAGCCTTGTTAAACATTCTAGTTGGTCACATTTTCGGACTCAATTATCATCAAAACTTGCGTCAGGATGCTTGTTAGGTATTGCTTGGGAATGAGTTCGAAATCGCATGTGAAACTAGGTCACCAGAGCTAAAAATTAGAAATATCTTGTTTAACACTTCTAGTTGCTACTGTTTTGATCAAAGTATCCTGAAATTGGGTCTGAAGTTGTTTTGATGATATTTTAGGTCCAGTTTTGAATATGTGTCCACCTGGGTAAAAAACTAGGTCGGCACTGCTCAAATATGGATAATTCCTGTTAATACTGTAGTTGTCACATTTTTGACTCACCTGTCATGAGACTTGGCCAGAATGCTTGTCTAGGTAATTGTTTGGATGAGTTTGATAAGTCAGGTGAGCGATCTAGTTCCATCATGGCCCTCTTGTTTAGGATATTATGATATGCCCATTATAACAACCACTATCAATTCTGTTTTCACATCATCTTCTCTGGGCCTCTATATTTTTCCAAGTTCTTCGTACCACTTGATGTAGGTCTGAATTGATAACTTGTGTAAAAATTTTCTGATCATTGGCTATCCCCATTTACCCAGTATAATCATTTTCATTGTGCAAACCCAAAATGTAAAGCGATGCAACCATTTTCACTTTAATCTCGCTAAAATTGCAGAAACTATCAATTTTCAATTTAATTTTGAGTGTATTTTTAGCTCACCTGTCACAAAGTGAACAGGGTGAGCTTTTTGTGATCGCTTTTCGTCCGGCGTCCGCTACCGGCCGTCCGTCCGTAAACTTTTTACTTTAAATGACAATCTCCTCATAAACCACTAAGCCAATTTCATCCAAACTCACAGGAATGTTTCCTTTGGTGGTCCACCTTTAAAAATTGGTTCAAAGAATTTAATTCCATGCCAGAAACTTGTTGCCATGGCAACCAAAAGAAAAAAAACTTTAAATATCTTCTTTTTAAAAAAACTGAGAGCTAGAGCTTAGATATTTGGCATGGCAAACATTTCTTCTAGTTGAAGTCGAGTGTCTACCAAGTTTGGTTCAAATAAAAGCCCTGGGGTCAAAATTTGCCCCGCCCCGGGGTCAAATTGATTTTCCCTATATGCATATGTAAAACTTAAAAATCTTCTTTTAAAGAACCCAAAGAGCTAGAGCTAAGATTATTTAGCATGAAACATGTTCTAATGGGTGTCTACCAAGTTTGTTCAAATAAAAGCCCTGGCGGGTCAAATTGGCCCCCGCCCGGGGGGTTTCATTGACTTTTTCCCTATATGCATATAGTAAAAAACTTAAAAAAATTCTTTTTTAAAGAACTCAAAAAGAGCTATGGCTAAGATATTGAGCATTTAAACATTTCTAATAGTTGTCTACCAAGTTTGTCTTAAATAAAAGCCCTGGGGTTCAAAATTGGCCCCGCCCAGGGGGGTCATTGATTTTTCCCTATATGCATAATAGTAAAAAACTTAAAAAAATCTTCTTTTAAAAGAACCAAAGAGTTTAGACGCTAAGATATTTTAGCATGAAAACATGTCTAATAGTGTCTACCAAGTTTGTTCAAATTAAAAGCCCCTGGGGTCAAAATTGGCCCCGCCGCCTGGGGCGTTTTCATTGATTTTCCCTATATGGCATATAGTAAAAACTTAAAAAATTCTTCTTTTTAAAGAACTCAAAAGCAGCTATGGCTAAGATATTTAGCATCAAACATGTTCTAATAGGTGTCTACCAAGTTTGTTCAAATAAAAGCCCTGGGGTCAAAATTGGCACCGCCCCGGGGGTCATTGATTTTCCTTATATGTGTATAGCAAAACCTTAAATCCTTCTTTGAAAAAACCCAAATAGCTAGAGTTTAGATATTAAGCATGAAACATCTTCTAGTAAGTGTCTCTCCCCATTTACCCAGTATAATCATTTTCATTGTGCAAACCCAAAATGTAAAGCGATGCAACCATTTTCACTTTAATCTGGCTAAAATTACAGAAACTATCAATTTTCAATTTAATTCTGAGTGTATTTTTAGCTCACCTGTCACAAAGTGACAGGGTGAGCTTTTGTGATCGCTTTTCGTCCGGCGTCCGTCCGGCGTCCGTCCGTAAACTTTTACTTTAAATGACATCTCCTCATAAACCACTAAGCCAATTTCATCCAAACTTCACAGGAATGTTCCTTTGGTGGTCACCTTTAAAAATTGTTCAAAGAATTTAATTCCATGCAGAACTCTGGTTGCCATGGCAACCAAAAGAAAAAACTTTAAATATCTTCTTTTAAAAAAACATGAGAGCTAGAGCTTAGATATTTGGCATGAAACATCTTCTAGTGAGTGTCTACCAAGTTTGTTCAAATAAAAGCCCTGGGGTCAAAATTTGCCCCGCCCCGGGGGGTCATTGATTTTCCCTATATGCATATAGTAAAAACTTAAAAATCTTCTTTTAAAGAACCCAAAGAGCTAGAGCTAAGATATTTAGCATGAAACATGTTCTAATGGGTGTCTACCAAGTTTGTTCAAATAAAAGCCCTGGGGTCAAAATTGGCCCCGCCCCGGGGGGTCATTGATTTTTCCCTATATGCATATAGTAAAAACTTAAAAAATTCTTTTTTAAAGAACTCAAAGAGCTATGGCTAAGATATTGAGCATTAAAACATGTTCTAATAGGTGTCTACCAAGTTTGTTTAAATAAAAGCCCTGGGGTCAAAATTGGCCCCGCCCCAGGGGGTCATTGATTTTCCCTATATGCATAATAGTAAAAACTTAAAAAATCTTCTTTTAAAGAACCAAAAGAGTTAGAGCTAAGATATTTAGCATGAAAACATGTTCTAATAAGTGTCTACCAAGTTTGTTCAAATAAAAGCCCTGGGGTCAAAATTGGCCCCGCCCGGGGGTCATTGATTTTCCCTATATGCATATAGTAAAAACTTAAAAAAATCTTCTTTTAAAGAACTCAAAGAGCTATGGCTAAGATATTTAGCATCAAACATGTTCTAATAGGTGTCTACCAAGTTTGTTCAAATAAAAGCCCTGGGGTCAAAATTGGCACCGCCCCGGGGGTCATTGATTTTCCTTATATGTGTATAGCAAAACCTTAAATCCTTCTTTGAAAAAACCCAAATAGCTAGAGTTTAGATATTAAGCATGAAACATCTTCTAGTAAGTGTCTACAAAGTTTGTTTAAATAAAAGCCCTGGGGTCAAAACTGGCCCGGCCCCAGGGGTGTCATTGTTTTTAACTATATGTGTATAGTAAAAACTTTAAAAAAATCTTCTTTTAAAAAGCCCAATGAGCTAGAGCTTAGATGTTTAGCATGAAACATCTTCTTATGGGTGTCTACCAAGTTTTTGCAAATAAAAGCCCTTGGGTTAAATTGGCCCTGCAACGTTGGGGGGGGGGGGCCTATATACAGGTGAGCGACCTCAGGGCCATCATGGCCCTCTTGTTTTATTATCATTTGCAGATTTTTCCATTTCAAGTACTTCATTTGATCTATGTAAAAAATGATTTAATAATGTTATATGCACTGACCTTAGTGGAGTTCCATTAAGTTACAATTATTAACAGATTAAATATTAAATAAAAGGATTTTAGTGTCAAACCATTTATATCTGAATGTTTTGGTTTAAACAGTATTTATTTCATATAATGCAAAACATATACAAATTAAAATATGATACAAAAACATTATATAAAACACTGGATTGAAAAGGAAGACAAAGACTTACATAGATTTCTTTCCTGTAAATCTTGATGTTTTCATGAGTCATCAATTAATTTTCTCATAAAAACCATACAGTCATGATTCATATATATAGACACTTTTACCTTCCTTGAGTATAGTTTATGAAAAACACAGTTACTTCCCTTAGATAATGATTAATAAAAGGAAAGGGTATTGGGGTAGTCTTGCAGTGTCTTACATCAATTTAAATAGACCAACTACTTCCAGTCATTTAACAAAAATCATCTTTCCTGTTATGGTGCCATATGACCTAAATTGTATTGGTGCACCATAAAACAAAACCAAACCATACTTCTTGTCATTTTACATGTAGGACTTGGTACAGTTAAACACACACAATAATAATACATGTATGTTAATTAAATGGTACACAAAGGCAACAAATATTAAAACCTAAAGATCATAAGTACTATAGTAGCACAGTTTTATATTAGAAAAATCTTCTAACCCTTAAACATGCTGAATTTCTTTAAATTCACTTGGACTCAAACTTTCTCTATTGGTACAGTCCATTATCAATTTTGGGGATATCAAGATGAAAATTTGAAATAGGCCAGCCTAGTATAGAGCCTGGTCGCACTGCACAGATGCATAGGCTGGCCTGGCTCTTTACTGGTGGCAAAGACTAAATACTTTTGGTTCCAGTAGGGTAAGGGGTGAATGATAATATTAGAGCAGCATACCTGCAGATACCTTCTAATTTTCATGAAACTTCTGAAAATGTATTAAAAAGTAAAATATTCTGAAGTTAAGAAAGAAAATAATATACACATTGCAAACCCATATAAATTACCAAAAAAGTGGTCAGAATATGCAAAATTAGCCATTACTGCATTAGTAATGCAGTAAAAATATGGTGAAAAATACTGCAAAATCACTTGTTGATAACACATAACATGGAACACATAAAAATCAAAGAGTTAGCAATAATTTGTTTAGTCATATTCACCATTTATAACATGTTTCAATTCTTTTTTACAGGACGATGCATTACTGAATACCTGTATACCAACAATATAAAGTCCAGGAAATATTTTATGATATGGCGTCAGTGATGAATCATACTAGTCATGTGCGTGCCTTATACAAGGCTATTCTGAAGCTACACAGGGGTTTGCCATTCAATATGCAAGCAATGGGTGACCAGTATGTCAAAGATGAATTTCGGAGGCACAAAAAATGTTCAGAGACCGAGGCTGAAGTATTTATGGATGAATGGACAGTAAGTGTATACTATCAGTTGTCACTCGGGTTACATTAATTCTGATTTTTTTTTTGCTTGGTGATCCATAGAAATATTCTGCTTCTTGTGGTCTTGTCACATTTGGTGTTTAAACCTAATATCTGCTGAATTTGTATAATAGGTTGGCTAATTTCACAGTTTAAAGCAGCCTTTTGCGTTTTAATTTCCGTTAAGTATGCTATTTCCGTTAAATATGCTATTTTTAGATAAATTGTTTCATATAATTGTCAAACATGAGGATAAAATAAATAAACAGTAAGGAAACCCCTTGATACCTCTAATCTACTGGTCCGCTCTCCAGGTTTTAATAAGTAAAGCAGACAATTTGTTTACTGATCTCCTATTTTTAGAAACAAAAGTCACTGATCGTTATAAATAGCTCTGTTTTGAAGAATGCTTAAGAGTGAAATGATGCACTTCCTCAAGATAAAATTGCTGAAATACTAAGGCTGAAACAACACAAAATTGTTTTCCAACAGAAAATAGTTGAATGCTGCTTAAATTGAGGTCAGTTTGGGTAAAGTTTTGTTGACAAGTAGAATCAATTGTAGAATGCCACATGTCAATCAAATATAGCCAAATTCAAACTTTTGTCAACAGGTATACAATTTGTATATTTAGTTTCTACTATGATATACTAATCTCTATTGTATTGGAGGCCCTTAACTGATTTTAGATTGACCAAAAGGACTGGAAAATTGTGATTAATGTGCAGGTTAGCCTAGCTCTATAATGATGGCTTTTTAGCTCACCTGTCACAAAGTGACAGGGTGAGCTTTTGTGATCGCTTTTCGTCCGGCGTCCGTCCGTCCGTCGTCCGTCCGTCGTCCGTCCGTCGTCCGTCCGTCCGTCCGTCCGTAAACTTTTACTTTAAATGACATCTCCTCATAAACCACTAAGTTAATTTCATCCAAACTTCACAGGAATGTTCCTTTGGTGGTCACCTTTAAAAATTGTTCAAAGAATTTAATTCCATGCAGAACTCTGGTTGCCATGGCAACCGAAAGAAAAAAACTTTAAATATCTTCTTTTAAAAAACCATAAGAGCTAGAGCTTAGATATTTGGCATGAAACATCTTCTAGTGTGTTTCTACCAAGTTTGTTCAAATAAAAGCCCTGGGGTCAAAATTGGCCCCGCCCCGGGGGGTCATTGATTTTCCCTATATGCATATAGTAAAAACTTAAAAAATCTTCTTTTAAAGAACCCAAAGAGCTAGAGCTAAGATATTTAGCATGAAACATGTTTCTAATGGGTGTCTACCAAGTTTGTTCAAATAAAAGCCCTGGGGTCAAAATTGGCCCCGCCCCGGGGGTCATTGATTTTTCCTATATGCATATAGTAAAAACTTAAAAAATCTTCTTTTAAAAGAAACTCAAAGAGCTATGGCTAAGATATTGAGCATCAAACATGTTCTAATTAGGTGTCTACCAAGTTTGTTCAAAATAAAAGCCGTGGGGTCAAAATTGGCCCCGCCCAGGGGGTCATTGATTTTCCCTATATGCATATAGTAAAAATCTTCTTTTAAAGAACCCAAAGAGTTAAAGCTAAGATATTTGGCATGATACATGTTATAATAAGTGTCTACCAAGTTTGTTCAAAATAAAAGCCTGGGGTCAAAATTGGCCCCGCCCAGGGGTGTCATTGTTTTTAACTATATGTGTATAGTTAAAAACTTTTAAAAAAATCTTCTTTTAAAAAAAAGCCCAATGAGCTAGAGCATAGATGTTTAGCATGAAACATCTTCTTATGGGTGTCTACCAAGTTTTGTGCAAATAAAAAGCCCTTGGGTTAAAATTGGCCCTGCAACGTTGTGGGGGGGGGGTGGTGGGGGCCTACATACAGGTGAGCGATCTCAAGGGCCATCATGGCCCTCTTGTTACTGTTCTATTTGAAATTTGTTACAAGATTGTAGGAGTTTGTTTATTAATTGCCTTGCAAAAGTAAATGGTTAAGTTTATGGAAAATATTTAACTTCTAGAGTTATTAACATTATTTTAAAACCATATTTATTTGCATTATTTTCAGAAGTATTACCTGCAATTAGCAAAACAGCTTGCAGCCAGGAAGAAACACCAGACAGTGGGAACCAATTTATCGCCAGAATTTTTAGACAATTTTAATGATGAGCAGGTGGCTCAATTAGTAGAACTATTTAATACAGCGACTGATAGGAAAGGTGTGAATTCAGAAACCAAGTCTTCTTGACAAGATGTCAATAATATGGATAAATATTTATAAAATGATACAAAAAAAATACATTAAAAATTGTAAAAAAGATTAAAAAGATTAATGTTGAGAGATTAAAATTTGTTTTGCTTTTTAGCTCGACTATTCGAAGAATATGAGAGCTATTGTAGTCGCCCCGGCGTCGGCGTCAGCGTCCGCGTCGGCGTCTGTGTTGGTTAAAGTTTTTTGTAAAGTCAAATATCTATATTATTACTTGTGATATTCAATTGAAACTTACAATAGTTATTTATAGTAACAAGGTACATCAGATTGACAAGTTGGATAACTCTGCCTACAATATTGACAGAATTATGCCCCTTTTTAACTTAGAAATTTTGGTTAAAGTTTTTTGTAAAGTCAAATATCTCAATTATTGCTTGAGATATTCAATTGAAACTTACAATACTTATTTATAGTAACAAGGTACATCAGATTGACAAGTTGGATAAACTCTGCCTACAATATTGACATAATTATGCCCCTTTTAACTTAGAAATTTTGGTTAAAAGTTTTTTTTGTAAAGTCAAATATCTCAATTATTGCTTGAGATATTTCAATTGAAACTTACAATACTTATTTATAGTAACAAGGTACATCAGATTGACAAGTTGGATAAACTCTGCCTACAATATTGACAGAATTATGCCCCTTTTTAACTTAGAAATTTTGGTTTAAGTTTTTTGTAAAGTCAAATATCTCAATTATTGCTTGAGATATTCAATTGAAACTTACAATACTTATTTATAGTAACAAGGTACATCAGATTGACAAGTTGGATAACTCTGCCTACAATATTGACAGAATTTATGCCCCTTTGGAACTTAGAAATTTTTTGGTTAAAGTTAAAGGTCTTCAAAGATATTTACTTGAAACTTTACACATGCACGTAGGGTCATAATTGGAGGGTCATAATTGTATGTCACTGACCAAGTTCCATAACTCTATCTTGCATTAAGGCTGATTCATATCCCCTTTTCTACTTAGTCTCTTGGTTAATGTTTACATGCAAGTTTTACATATCTCAATAACTATTAAAGATATTTATTTAAAACTTCACATATGCATTTAGAGTCATAATTGTAGTTCACTGACAAAGATCCATAATTCTACCTTGCATTTAGGCTGATTTTTCTCCCCTTTTTTAACTTAGAAATTCATGGTAAAGTTTTGCTTGTAAGCTGTTATCTCAATAACTACTGAAGGGTTTGTGCCTTTTTTGGGACAATTTAAGCATTAATAATAATAAAGCTGTTATTTACTTAATAAAACATCTTAATAACAAGCCTTTGTACCTTTTCTGTCAAATTTATGTATTCATAGGTAATTAGTATTATTATACTCAATAAAAACACCCTTGTGACATTACCTTCCGAATAGTCAAGCCAATACTGTATAATTAGACTCTCTTCAAGGCCTATAACTTGAATTTATAAAAAAAAATTAGCCCTTTTGTGAACTTAAAAAATTTAACATTATCAAGGCTCTTTTACTATCAAGCACTTAGAATAGTCGAGCGTGCTGTCCTTCCGACAGCTCTTGTTGATATTGTGGTTTTGGCAACAGTATTGAACTATTTTGCATCAATATGATACATTTTGCTTGTAAAATCACTTAATTATAAGAAAATCACTTTGTTAAAGGTTGAAATATACTTAATAGTTAAAGTGATATGTATTTATTTGTGAGTCTTATATTTAATTATATTGCTACTGTAACTGTATTCAGTTATTCAG